GGTGTAAATGGTGCATTTCATTTCATATTTAGAACCTGGATATAAGAGTCCCTCGAGTGACATTTTTCATGAGTAATATCATTTTTAGAATTACCCCCTCCCTCATCGTTACAAATCACGACCTGAAAATTGAAACACGGAGAAATTTCTCTCACGAATTCCTTAACATAGTAACACAATGTTCTTACATTCCTATTTTCAGTTATATTGACGGTGGGTGGAAACTGCCCTTCGTCCGCCACCGTTATACTCTTATTCATATATATTCCGACAAATCTGATCCTACTAGTTGCTCGGAAGTGATATACGGAAGTGGTATCGTCACATTTAATGGCAGTTGCTTCAAACCATCTTTGGGTCGCTATTTTTAAGAATTTGACAATGACAAAAGCGAAATTTGAAATTTGGAAAAACTTTCGGTATCGATACAAAACTTTAGATTTACTTGCGGAGAAATGCGGAGTAGGGACAAATATACCCCTCGACTCTATCGTGGTACCGTGTGGGGCACAGGGGCATTGTAGAATATCCGGATATGACTTGATGAATTCCATAATGGTTCAACTTTGTACCGATACCAAAAGTCAAAGGCAGAGGGCAAATTAAACTACTCGACTGTGAGTGACATAGAAACTGTTCAGTGAGACATCAATCACCCAAAACAACCAGGTAGAGTCCGAGTTGACGGGGGGAGGGGTTTTCTTGTCAGGTACTAGTATAAAAGAAATGCCCGAACCAATTCCTCATAGAACACTTAATTTATTTACTTTTTTCATTTGTATTTGGAACACTCAACTTTACACAAAACCAAAATGCAACGATTCACCGCAATAGTAAGTTTTTTTTCGTTGATTTTTTGTTTTAAATATTTTTCTTAAATCTAATTATATTTTTTTAATTCTTTTTTTTATCAGCACGTACTGACCCCTAACAAACAAGAACGTTTTTTTTATCATATACTTGTTAATATCCAACTTTATAATCCCTTTCTATTAAATATAAATCAAACTGCTTCTAAATTTACTGGAAATACATGCCTGTATAAAGAACTAACAGAGTTTAATATGAACGCGTTTACATCCTCTAGGATGGCCTTACTGTTAAATTTATTTACTCATAAAGATGATTGCTTAGTTTGGATTATGCCAGTGTTTTTAAAATCAGCATCATAAAGACGAGAATTGAGTTTTACGCTCTTTTGTTATTCACTTTACCGTACTAATGAAATTAATGGAATTTTACATCATCGTACTGTTCTGCATCTTTTCGCCGTATGAAATCAAAGTTATCATGATTCATAGGCTTAATGTGTACAATGGGCTAAAACTTAATTTCTGCTCAAACTTGGAATGATTCTCAATAGAAAATATGAAATGAAATAGAGTTTTACGTCCTATGGATTTCGCTAAGAGGACGGACAACGCTATGTAGTGTTCAATAAGGGAATTTGAAATATAATTGAAGCCTTATGTTCCTGTCGAGTAAAAAGATGGACCCATACTACCTTCCCTTACGTTAATTCTATCAATTTGCAAAGAACCTGACGTTAAATTCCATTTCATTTGATAAGTTGAATGCTTGGCGGGAGAGCGTAAAACTCCCATTTCTTGATAGAAAGCGAACTGCCAAGACCGTGGAAATTTCTTGAAAATTTTCTGATTTACAGCGTAATATATTTTTAAAAACGCCTCCGTTTTTATTAACACATAAATCAACAACTAGAATCTTCAAATCATAATATGTGTCATTATAATTTTGACAGCCATTTTGAATACTAATGAGCAGCAATTATGAATATTCATGAACATACTTTATGAATATTAATGAGCTAACTGTCGGCTGTCAGTCAAACTTTGATTTGAAGTAAAATTTTACAACCAAACATCTTTTAAAACCAATTTTATAATCTCATAAACATCATTACAGTAAATAGTAAGATATATAGCTTGAAATGAAGATGAAACGGAGTTTTACGCCTTTCATTCTGCTCCAAATTTGGTCTATAAAACGGAAAACGTCACGCAGTGTGCCAGTATTGCCATTATAGGACTTATCTACTCTAATTGCAAACTGTCGGGGATCTTTAAGGTAAAAAGCCTGTAGCACTCAGCACCTAAACCGGTTCACCGTGAAAGATCGGTTGGTTCAGATACAGCATTACGGAAGCCGCCGAAAATTGCCGAATATTGGGGCTTTGACTCTGAGCCCACCCGAACGACCAATCTTGTTAAAATTAGACCAAACTGTCATTCCGTTTTCTACTAGCGAATTGTCGGTGTCTTTTTATTTGAGTCACAAAATACCAGCGTTGGAAAAGGTAGGAATTTGATTGGCTGGTGGTGTCATCAAACAGACAAATTCTCAAGAGGGCCGTCTTTAGACCCTAACTGAAGTGGTTATATCAAAAATAAAAGCTAGTAGAAAACAGAACGAAAGTTTGGTCTTATTTTAATAAAACTACTCGAACGACATGACACTTTCAAGCTGAGTTCTATTCCTTCATTTATGTATTGAATTATTTTTATTTTAAAGGTACTGGTCTTCGCTCTCGTGACAGTATCACAGGCATTTTGGCTGAACTCAGGTAACCAAGGAACAAACCCAGGTGCCACAGGCCAACCAAACCGTAAGTACCCTTTTATACTCACTGTCCGACAAATGTAGACCTACCCAGTTCTTTTACCCAGAATTTCACGCCAGAGGAACTGGGTAGGGCCAGATTTATCGGATTAATATAGTCAAAGTATCTCAGGCTGGGCGATATCATCTTCACAATATCAAGTTATTACGGTCTTTATCTTATTCATTAACAGCAATAGCCAACCCTCTTCTATCATGGAAGTTTGTAAATGAAGCGATTTGATTGGGTTGTACGCTATCGAATACAACTAATCAGAACCCTCGACGGAAAGATTGTGAACAAGTTGGCTATGCATGTTAACGATATTCAGTAGCCTCGATGGAATCTCCTCTCAGAAAGTTTGAAAAAATAAATTTGATTTTGGCATTTTTTTTTTAAATTTCTGAATTAGTCTTGGTGAAGGAAATCAAATTAAGAGAAAAAATTGATTTAACAATAAACTATTGTATCTATTTTTCAGAGTCCAACAACAATCTTGCTAACTATTTCTTGTAAGTATATCTTATTCGACGCCCATCTGCAACTCCCGTCAACTGGGCATATCTTTCAGAGAGTTCACATAGTTAAACTGCAACACGATATATCCACTAGTCAGTAAGGGAAGGGGGAGGGGACATGGCAAATGACTCTTGATTCTCAAAGTAGGACATAAAATCCATATCATTTTTTTTTCATCTATTAATGTTTTTTTTTTTTTGGTTGTAGATTGTTTTCCGGAAACGATATGATGAGACAAATGTTCGCCTTACAGAAACTCGGACCAGCTGGTTTATTTTTATTCAACTAAAATCAAGTTCGACTAATTGTCGAAAGGTCCTTTAATGTGCACAGAATAGCACAAGCGGACTCATCTTCACAGTGTCAAACTATTACAAACTTCGTACTTATACCTTGACTACAATAGCCACTATCCTTGGATTGCAGCGATTTGTAAATTGTACAGAACGGTAGAGTTCAAAAGATTAAATTTTGAATGACTTACCCAACTTCAACCGTCCTGCGCCGAGTTGACTTCAGTTGATAAGCATTTTTCATGCATTGTTTCTTCTTCCTTTCAGTTGCTTACAGATAAAACACGCACGACTCGTTCAATAAAACCACAACGCTTCATGTTTGTATCAAAACAAAATACGCTCACGTGAATTTAAGTAGGTCAAAGGTTGAAATGCACATCCGGGGTGTTTTCATTTAGTAGAGTCCACTATGTTTTGGGGTAAATGGTGGTAATTGACATCGTATTCAAAAAACAAAATCGATTTCATGTCAATGAAATTTGAAAGAGTAGACACCTATAGCCTTGATTTGTACGATTTAGGTTAAATGGTACTTGCGATAATGACGTCAAACGATGACAAAGGCAAAGGTTGTCAATTGGACAGAGAAGCGTCTTAAAAGGACAACAGGATCTCTTTCAATTGATTTCAACAAAACGTCAACGCACATGCAATGGACATCTCTGAACGTGTTTTATTAGATGGGCATTTTTATATTTCTTATGGGAGAAAGGGGATTTATCATCGATAACACTGTTACCGGAACCATTTTCAAACTAAAAATGACTGAATTGAAATACCATCAGGTGTTTCGAAAAGAGTAAGCTTATCTATATCATAACCAAATATTCAGTTTCAGTTTTTAAGCATAGTATGCAAACAAAGCGACCGTTACTGCCATGACAAATACCGCATTCCCGTCCAGAAACCATTGCATCCATTTATTCTTGTCGGTTTTATAGAATTTAGAAAAGGTATCTTCGTCACCCACGAGTTCCTCTTCGGGGTCAAGGCTGTGGGACGATGAGCTGAGACATACACTGGGACATACACATGGGCACGAACTGTGGGTCTCTGAAAAACCATGATATAAGGTTACAGTAAGATTAGGGTCGGAGGAAGCCACTAGTTAATTTTCCAGTTCTTTGCTTATGATGAAATACAACGCCAATCAGTTTCCAATGAGGTAAATTTTGCCCAGGCAGTGGAATGAGTCGATTGAGGCTTTTTAACGTGAAGAGCAAAATATAGTGAAAATACTCCTTAGTAACGAACCTTCGGCTTTGTTCTTGACGTCTTCCTTTAGTTTAGCATAAAGAATATCTTCGTTGTGGTCGTAGTCTTCATTTTCATCATCGCTTACCTCCCTTGGCGCAGATTTTCTCGTTGCCCACGTGACTCTCCGAAGCTATGTAATATGTAAAAAAAAAAAATTTTAAAAGATGACACTTAAATTGGGCAAAGAAATGTCGAATTTACTTCAGTTACAACAATTAAATTCATTAAGCTGGACTTTATTAACACTTTCTGTTGCAAATCAAATTTTGGCGCACAAATCAGAGGCAGCCATTTTCTACAAAATTTTGTCAATCAGTCAGCAAGGACAGACAACTCACCTGAACTTCAGAACGTGGCTGTGTACATAAACTAACGACCACACAAACAACAAACGATATAACTGTAATAATGGCGGCAAAATGAAGAAAATGGACGCTAGACAGAAGTGTTGGTCTGGTATCTGTCTCACCACAGGCAGGTTTCTGGTATGAAATATCCAGTACCAACCGTGTTAGTCCGACCAAGAGCCCAGATATCAAACTCCAGAACGCCCCCTACGGATAAAAAATTTGTTAAAAGCATTGAACATTGTTTGTTTTCTAAGAAACGCTAATATACCCATTACCCAATAACATTGTTAGGCCTACTATGTCGACTCTCTGAAAGAGTTCTCAAGTTGAACTTATATGTTGAGCATGTCGTGTATCCTTGCAAGCCAGCAAGTTTCTAAGTCAGCCTAAGCATAAACATCTTTTACAAAATTATTCAGATTTACTACCTGCTCAGTAGTTCGTTGCCAAGCAACACCCAGTAAAAATACAACCGGAAATGGTGGTGCAATGTAGGCGGCCATTGCTTGTATATAATTCCACAGTTGTCCCCCTTGATTATTCTCTAAAATTGGCATCCAAAGCAAACTGGTACACATCAAGCCTACGATAAACACCCTGAAAGGCAAGAATAGAAAAATAACCATTGTATTTAACAAGGAGATCTCAAGAATCAAAAAAGAAGTCTTTGACCAAACATCTTGCCAAGGTATTGCTCCGTCCTGGATTATCGGTTATCATTTACAACTGGGACAATTAAGGTAATGTGGTCATCTGATTTATATGCAGCGACTAAAGTCCTAAAACAACCAACAAAATGAAGCCTTAAAATGCAAAGATTTCAAGCGGAATTTGCCTTCCAGTTAAAATGCTATCACGCTAAAAATGGCAGACAAAATTTCCGTTGACTTACTTGCTAACAACCATGAGCTCCCTCTCTGAAGCTTTAGGTCTGCATCGTGGCCACAGATCTAAAGTGAACATGCTACTGGCACTGTTAAAGATCGAAGTTAAGGTTCCCATTAGAGCTGAGAGCATACCAGCCGTCATTAAACCTCGCACAAAGTTCGGCAAAAGTTCCACGATCAATTTGGGATACACCAAGTTAGAACATCCATGTGGATTCTCACAAACCTCCATACACAGTTCCGGTTCCACGCATCCGATTTCATCTGGAATAAAGACCAGGTCGATCGCATTAAATATCTAGGAAGGGGGAGGTTCAGTGAGGAACCAAACGCTTACCAATGATGATGAAGATGTTGGCGATGGCGTTGGCAATGATGTTTCTTGCTATAACTTCTGTTGCATCTAATGATTTTGCCTCTTTTGCAAATGATGATAATGATAATGAAGAAGATGACGACTTCAAGATGGACTACTCACCAGGAAAGAGAACTCGTCCTATCATACCAGGAAGAATCACCAAGAAAAATGGAGTAATTTTTAACCACGCAGCAAAAATAACACCACCTTTAGCATGGGAATGGGTTTTAGCTGCCAGAACTCTTTGAACCATCACCTGAAAGTGACATGGAATCTGTGTAATGCCAATATCGTTCTATTTTTTTCTAATAAAACTTACGATGATTTTATTGTTCCAGCAATTTGATTGGTCAATCACTGAACTCGATTTAAAATTTAATCTTATAAGATTACTGTATGTCTTACAATTTGGGGATTATCTTTGGTTTTTGTGAAACCGGGTCCGAGATCTAATCAAAGATTACTAGAAGTAGAAAATCTCAGACAATCTTGCTCTCCGAACTTGGAAGAGATAGGCCAATCGTCTTCTCAACTGTTAAAGCTCATTTTGAGCCATCTGTATCCCTTTTCAAAATAAGTAGAACTAAAGAAAACAAAAACCTACTTGATCTGTACAGAAGGCTAAAATCGCCATTGGAGTTAACCCAAACACAGCTCCTGTCCATGGTACGTCTGACGTCACTGGGTCGCGAAATATGTGAAGGGAATCCTCGCGGGGCAATCCCATTCTAGGATCACATGACGTCATATTAGCAGCAGACATCATATATTTTTCAAACAAGGCCTCCATACCACCTACTCTAATGAATGCTGAAACATCAAAGGTTTGATAGGTGAGACCATGCATAGTGGTTTTTTAGGTGTGGGTCTAGAAGAGGAAGGGGGAGGGGGGGATCCACCGGGTATATAAAAGCCCAATGATAAGAAAGCCGTAGAAAACACCATTGGTTCTGCAACCTGCTTTGTCGAGTTTGTGCTCCCTTGGCCAATAATCTTATCGGCGTGACCTTGGTTTATTGTCTAAATTTTTCTTGCTTTGAGGACGTGCAAATATTAAAAAATAATTCACTCACCCAACACTGTGAGGTAGGTGGAACAAATCAAAATGGCGACAATTTGAAAACAGTGTGCCCAAACGATAGCCGACAGACCACCTGTAAATAGAAAAAAAGAAACATCATGATCCTCTGTACTAGCTCGTCCCTGACAGGCACGTAGCTATGTCTATGTTTTTTCTGCCGAGTCCTCTGATTGGCTGTATTCACAAGCGTACAATCCAATCAATGAACAAACTTTAGTGATACAAGTTCATATTGATGTCAAGGTAATGGACGAAGCTCCTGGGTCCCCAAGTCTTACCTAATATAGTAAAGAGTGTCGTGAAAGCTGTGACGCTGATAATGGAGATATACATATTCCAGCCCATGGCTTGTTGTACAAACAGCGCTCCCGAATACATATTTACCTGGAACACAGAATGATTAAATTAATATTGGACGAGTTATTGCCCTTGACATAGAGCTTGGATACATACAGCGTGAAATAATAGCGGGTGAGCTATTGCCCTTGACATATAGTCCATACCTTGTTGTACAAACATCGCACTCTCGAGTTATTGCCCTTGACACAAAGTTACTGAATAGAAGTTTACCTACTTGAATTAAGTTTGGACCTAATAGATATTTAGAACGAACAATATTACAATTAAAATCTTACCGATATCCTTTGGACCACCAACAGAAATATTGACAGCAAGGATAAGTAGGTCCGCAATCTTTTGCCACCAAACCTCTTCTTTAAATACTGGGGCATCGTATAGGCCTACAATTACATTTCTATATTACAGCGCTGTAGATATAAATCTTTTTGCCAGACATGTCCGACACGGCAACTATAATGACCGATTTCACTATTCAAAGTCATGTCTATAATACGTTATATCAGTTGGATAAAAAAAATTCTGATGCAAAAACCAGTCTGTAAAAGTACGAAGATCCAAGGGGAGAGGAAACAATGGCTACTCACCCCTGACGACACATAAACAGGAACGAAAAACCACCCTAATAAAATCAAAATAAATATTGCCTGTAAAGAAAAACAAAGCCATGTCAATTGCACTTTCATCTGGGGCGAAAATTGAGTGAGTCAATGGGGGACAACTGTCGAGGATGAAATTTAAAATGCAGCAGCTCTGTGGAAGAGCGATTGGTTGAAGTGTTTGAGAGAGTTCTTATCAAGGAAATTTCGAAATTAGAATTGATGGCGCATTCTATATTTCGAAGATAATCCTATCAGTTGGATTGTCGTCTGTTAGGCGATTAGGTGCCGTGGGCTAAAATCCTTCTCAAGAAAAATTCTAATGCCTGCCAGTGCTTGAGAAAGGTGGGCAACCCACCAACGATTGATATTTTATAAATATACCTACGTGCCATTCGTAAACTGTAACACCGAGTCCACTAGCTGCAGCCGACCCCGACATTCCAATGAAAAAATTCAAACCAAAATTAGTGGCGAACAGAGAAGCCCCAATCTGAAGAAAACAAATTCACCGTCGAATCATCAAATTCCTCAACCGGTTCGGAAAACGGGGTTGTATTTCCATTAAAATGCTAAGCCAAAATGGCCTAAGATTTCCCCGAAATTTGACCGTTTTGGCAGCAATTTAGCTCTTGCTGCTCAAAACAGACTCATTCGAGAGAAGGGGGTGTTCTGCCCTGCCTCATCGCTAAGCAGCTTTCTAAATCATACAATTTTATGACGTCATAAACTCACCTGCACCCAAAGCATATTTCTTCCCGCCAAAAAATAGTCTTTTACTCCGTTTGCCTTGCCTCGACATGACGCCTGAAAATATGAAGCCAAAACTAAGTTTGAATTATAAATACAGCGAGAGATATTGTTCTATGATAACGACATCCTTCTCTTTTTCGATGTCCAATTGTCGAGGGATCTCTAACGTTTGTAGACTGTAGCACACTGTGGCGGTTTGTAGGGTGGTTTTAATTAAAAGTCGGACTCTGGGTATGTAAGTTTCCATTAATTTATTTTCATGTTAATTTAACAATGTAGATGTGTATCAATAACAATATTTATAAAGCATCTGATGTTCGGCAATCTATCAATCTATCTATATAGGCTACCAGCTTGGTGAACAACTCTCGTCGACTTATATTTTAAAAAAAAAAAATAGAAGTTCGATAAACAGCTGGGGATCTTGGCGATCCTATCTACCAACTGATCCTTAGTTATTTCCTTGGTAATTATTTTTCTTGGATAACTTAGGTTCTCAAGGATCCTATCCACCACATGGTCCTCGGATAGCACGAAGGTTCTCGTATCCTATACACCACATGGTCCTCGGATAGCACGAAGGTTTTCAAGGATCCTGTCTACCAGCTTGATCAAGCCTCTTGACGATGATTTTACAAGAACAACAACTAAGTTTGAAAAAGAGCCTTTCTACCACCTGGTCGTTTGACTTATCTCTTGAAAATTATTTTACAAGAGAAGAGAAAGGGGAGGGGAGGGGGGTCGGGTTATTGAATTTACTTACCCAAAATGCCAAAACAGACAGCAATGTAAAATACCCAATAACAATACCTACATCGGCCCAGCCGAGTTCCCCCATCACAGCGGTTTAACTTCAACTCAGTTACTAGATAATATTAAATAAATAATTCAAACAAAATGTCAAGAATTTCATTGCGGTTAAATACATAAATATACATTCAATATTCGTCACAATTTCGGATTTCTAACAACGTTTCGACGAATTACATACCTATATTTTGTACGTTGAAAACAATCAATGGATCGGTTCATTCAACTTCTTCAAGGTTTCAGTTATTTACACGACTATGTCCGATCACGTTTCGACAAATTACACAATAAACTCGACTGTACCGTGAATAAAATACGCCGCGAAAAAAAAGACGTATTTCAAAAAATTATTCGAAAACAAAATTGATTTTCAAAATGAATAAATTTTATAAACAACGAGGCATGAAGGATAACGATTATTGATTCTTAACTATACGATCTACTAATTGTTTTAGTAGGAGTTATGGTTCCTCGCTTCAATGCCAGATGCCCTGATGAAATTAATTGGACTTTTGCGTCTTTCGGTTCACCGCTCTTCTGGGGTAATGAAATTAAAATCCCCACCGTGTTAAACAATCGCTGTTCTGCGTTGTCTGTTTACTAGAGTTCATCTCATGGTGCCAAAGCCTACATAATCCTCATCAGGACAGCTGGTTAATTTTAGCTTATTGGCTGATAGCTGATTGCATGCTTCCGTCATGTGTTTCAGACATAATTGTCAGAGGCAAAACAGAATTGGTTATCTGGTTATCTCGTGATTTTCACCATCTGCGTCGCGCTCGAAGCAGATCATGCTTTGATAAAATAATAATGGCGGCAATTATGTTTAATTACATCATATTTGGGTAATGACAGCACGCCAAACGGGTTAATAATATCAACAAATTAAACAAGTGAAGTGTGTTTTTATATGAATTGTAGGAGAACAGGCCGACAGATCTTAATCCTGAAAAGTGATTAAGATAGCTGTAAAAGCATTTTCAAGTTATATAGTAAATATTTGGATGACTATATTGATCTGGTTGTATTTCATGATTCTGACTATTATGGTTCGAAGCAGACCATGCTTATTCGTTTAGAAACACCTGATGGTACTTCTCGTTGGAAGTGTCCACTACTATACAACTTTTACTCTCGGTTTTGACATACTTTGGAAGGGATGTTTGATTGACGGGATTGTCTTGCATGTACGGATATTATTAGTAGTGACAACACGCACGAGGTACGGGTCCGGACTCAGGGTCGGAGTTCCTTTATTTTAGTTTTACTGAATTGATTATCCCATATCGTACTCTCAACTAAGACACTTGCGCATCATTACTCAAACAATTTTCACCCATTATCCAAATCATCCTGTTATCCTAAACCTCCCATTATCCCATAGTCCGAAACATAGCATTATCCAAACCATCCCATTATCCAAATCATCCCATTATTCAAACCTCATTATCCAAATCAACCGATCATTTCATTATCCCATTATCCAAACCATCCCATTATCCAAATCATCACTTCATCCCATTATCCGAAATATATAAAGAGGGCTACAGCACCCGCCATCACCAGCAGGGCGTTAACATTCAACACCCATCGCACCCACGATGCTTCCTGCACACCGACAAATTTCTTCAATTCGGCTTCCTCCATGGCCTTTGTTTTCGGTTTGGATTTAAAACTGGAGTAGCAGTATAAAATATTGTACACTCTCTTTTTAAGCGTCACTGAAAAGGTAAGGAGTAGAGTGCTTGATAAATTATACGAAGAAACGACACATGAAGTATACTGGCGTAAGTGGGCGTTTCAAAGTTTTACAATGTAGGGTGTCTTCATACCTAAGATATCTCAAAATGACCACTTTTCAATCGACTTTCATAATTTTGGAAGTTTTAAATTGTTTAACCCTCGTAGTTCTGAAACTTGGAAAAGGCCCGACCTCAGCCATTTTCATCTTGTCAACTGAAAATTTCTCCTGATCTCACCTGAAGGTACGTCATTCCCACCCTCCATTTTCAAATTTGTGGAATTCAGAGTTTCTCCCACGGTATCAGGCTCGACGTCTTCATCATCGCTTATCTCCCTTGCATCAGAATGTCTGGTCGCCCACGTGACTCTTCGAAGCTGAAATTTAAGAGTCTAAACTGAGTGCAGTCTGGGCAGACGACTGTAGTTGAACTATCAATCTAATTGAAGCATGAGTTCAATCTGTCAGATAGTTTTCGTCTCAATTGTAATCTAGTTTTCTATCACACACAATCGCGCTCTTATGACGTTATCGTTAGCCAATCAACGCGTGTAATATAGAACCACAAAAGGCCTACAATGAAAGTTCCGCTAGCGCTTTACAACAGATTCAGCTTCAGAATGATAATGGGATAGAAAACCACAGTAGCGCAATGTGACAAGAAGTAGGATCTAGACTGGTTCGCGAAGATGCATAACATTGGTTTTAGTTAAAGCTATTCAGAAGAGTAAGCAAGCTTACCTTGACCTCGTCTCTGGGTTGGGTAAACAAACTGACCACAACACAAACAATAAACACCACTCCAGTTAGAATTATAGCAAAATGGAGAAAATGTACTTTATATAGAATGGCCGGCCTGGTTTCCTCCTCTCCACAAGTTGGCTTCTGATAGACTAAATCTATCACTAGACGAGACCCACCGACAGCTAGACCCGCCATTAGACTCCAAAACGCTCCCTGGAAAACGGTAGAGCACATTCGTTACAATTGAGTCGAAACGAGTGTTTAGACGCACCATTACATGAATCAAAGATAGACGGTTTAAAAGACGACATCGAGCCGACATTCGGAATCACTGTTGTGGAATCAATATTTTTTTTACCTTGAGGATTCGACCCCAATGCACCATGTCGCTTATCGAAAGGTTAGGATTCACAATATCTCATGCTCAATCTGCCTTGTTAGCTTGAATATCTGCCCAAAATATCAGAATATCATACCTTTTCTGTGGTTCTCTTCCAAGCTATGCCTAGAATAAAAATAACGACCCACGGCGGTGCCAGGTAAGCCATCATGGCCTGTAGATAGTTCCAGAGTTGTCCCCCTTGATTAGCTGTTAGTATAGGTATCCAGAGGATGCTTATTACCACCAAAACTAAGATGAACGCTCTGAAGGAGAGAAACGGAATGGAATAGAGTTTTACGTACAGTATTTCTGCAACTGAGTTGGTTAATGAAATAATAGGCTTACAATGCTTTACAGGAAAAACAAAGGAAAGAAAAATGCATTTTTACAAGGATAACAACTTAGGTCCTTAAGGTTCCTTTCTACCAGCTGGTCCTTGGCGAATCCTCTTGGCATTGATCTTTCCTGGAACATCCACACCCATTTACAGCTGGGTATAATAAGGAAACACTTACTCAATGTCAAAAAACAACGATGAATACCCTGGAAGTAACATAGTATTATAGTGGCGATTTGATTGGATAGTATGCCAGCCGCTACAGCAATAAGAGCTCTCGACAGAAAGACTGTAGACTTACCGTCCAACGATCATAAGTTCTCTTTCTGAAGCTTTTCGTCTGAATCTGGTCCAGAGATCTAGAGTGAACATACTACTAGAACTGTTAAATACTGACGTCAGTGTACTCATTAGAGCTGATAACATACACGCTAACATCAACCCTCGTACACCTGGTGGGGAAAAGGGAATAACTGAAGTTTCATATCCTAAGTTAATCCTCCATTTTTAGCAAATCTGCACCATACAATGTAGGCTTACAATTAGTGTTGTCTTTCTGTACACAAGGGGAATATACATAATGCAAGTTAAGATAGTGAGACGATCAGTTTCAATTATGACATTTGGCCTATATGAACAATCAAAGGGCCATAACTCAGATTTCAAACCCGTAAGTTTATGAAACCAATAAAAACGAACATAGTCGTGTAGAATTTTGAATTCGGACGATATATTACTACACAAGTCCTACCACCTTACTCGTTTACTATGATATCACGTCTGGGGAACGGGGTAGGGCCGATGTAGTCGGGACATGAGATATAGCAAAAACACCTTGGTCACCTTGAAAACCTGGAGCTAAAATTTCATAAAATATTTGGGATACCTTACCCGCTGGTAGAATTTCAATGACTAATTTGGGATAAACTATATTGGAACAACCATTGGGATTCTCGCAGACTTTCATGCAAATATCAGGATCTACACAACCAATTTCATCTGAAAGACAATTTTAATCGATTTTATTCCCAAAAGAATCTGCCCCTCTACAGCCTCCAGGTTCATTCAACACTCGCTTAGGGAACCTTTAGGTAATGCTCGCTATTCTGGGACACACTGCGGACATTTTCAAAGTCTACATTGTAAATTTGGTGTTTACACATCCGACATAACAGATTGTTCACAGAGCTATTAGGCTTTCAGTTCAATTAACGATTATGATGATGAAGGCAATTATGCTTGTGATGATGAATGATGATGAAGAAGATGATGACGTCACAACTACTCACCAGGAAAGAGAACTCGTCCTATCATACCAGGAAGAATCACCAGGAAAAATGGAGTAATTTTTAACCACGCAGCAAAAATAACACCACCTTTAGCATGGGAATGAGTTTTAGCTGCCAGCACTCTTTGAACCATCACCTGAAACACCAAGTTAAAGTAGAAAGAGCACAATAAGCTAATTTTGAAAATGAGCAAGGCGATGTGGCAATAAGTTTCGAACACAACTCATGGTTGTTTACATTTCAAACCATTGAGTTCTTAAATATCTGGTGCTATCCACCACACCCGTCCCCACCCCACCCCACCCCCATCCCCCTTCCTCGACCCCTCCACCTAATGCTTTTAGAGAAACTCCACTGTGGGCACTTTTAAGTTGTAATTATTTTACTGTCATCATTGTATTTTTTTCATGCCAAATTAACCTTGGTAGGTAAATTACGACGAAGGTTAATTTGACATGAAAAAATAAATGATGACAATTAAATAACTACCATAATCACCTTAATGCTTAAATTGTAAGTAACCTATATTTTTTTCAATTATGTTTTTTTTCTGTTATTTTGTATTTCAGGAAAAAGGTCACATTGTATCACATAAAGCAAATACCTGATCGGTACACCAAGCTAAAATAGCCATGGGAGTCAGTCCCAGTATGGCCCCAGTCCACGGGATGTCACTCGTCGCGGGATCTCGGAATATATGAAGAGCATCGTCGCGTGGGTAGCCCATAGTAACGTTTCCGCACGTGGTAACATTCGGTACGGCATTCATGTATTTCTCAAACAGTGCTTCTATTCCTCCGACTTTTATAAAGGCTGAAATTAAACATCAAGGGCGATAACTTTCCTGAACAAATAGCGGCAAGTTGAGTATTGAATCTTCATTTGGTATATACATGTAGCTCATTACAGGAGTGGACCTAAACGGATTGAAACCCAATCAGAGACTAACATCCCAGAGACTAATGCCTGAAACAGGCTCCAATTTCAAGTACCATTTCAAGGGACCAGGGGACCATCAGAAGAATCTTGATCTCACCCGTATCCCAGATCCCCTCCGTAGACGGACGATTGATTGACAATACGATAATGATCGGACACCAATATCTAAGCAAGAGACCCATCACCTATCCAGAGTTCACCCCTAGTCCCAGATCCACTACCCTAGACCGCCGCTAACCCTGACAATACTTACAGGCTATAGTAAGGTATGTTGAACCAATGATCATAATAACTGTTTGTAGAGTATCGGTCCATATTACTGCAGTCAGTCCTCCTGTGGGGAAAAAACAAAAGATTACAAACTGTGTTGTTCCACCCGCTAAAAAGCGACGTCATAATATCGCAGAGTCTTCTAGAAATTCAGGAACCACAGACATATTATGACTGGAAATTGGAATGGTGTTAAAAGATGCTAAAATTGTCTGATACACACCAAAAGGGCAAGGCAAATCTCCACTGAATCGAACAATGACAATGCAAATAATAAACACTTCTGAGACGAACGAGGCATTTGTTGAGAGAGATTCGAACCCACAGCAACTAATCTTCAATGCGCTACCGATTGGGCTATCCCGCTGATGACGTAGAATCTTACCTATAATAGTATAAACGGCTGTGATAAGAGTTACACTGACGATTGATAAATACATATTCCATCCTAGAGATTGTTGAATAAAGATAGCTCCAGCATACATACTCACCTAGAAATGGAGATTAGAATAAAATGCAATACAAGGGAGATTTTCATTCTACTTTTTGGCGACTAATTGAATGGACAATGACACTGATACGTTAAGAATTTAAAAGGTTATGTTTCCCCAACTCCCACATAATGGCATCGTCGCTATTTTGACAGGAGGGAGGTAGTAAGACTCGCTTGACCTCTGTACCTTCCCCCACCCAGCACAACGTCTCAATAGAATCCCATTCTCTCTAGTGTACTGATGGCAATGGCAATTTGACAGCAGCAATGGCGAGGAGCAATTTGATGTCTAGTTGCCCTGAAATGACCCATATGGCTACCACCGTAGTTATCAAAAATGGTAACCCGAATGGAATATGAATAGTCTGATTGTAGTGTTGATAACTGTTGGCCTGTATCAGGATCTCCACTATAATACGCCTTTAAAAATCAATACCTATGCATATTAAATTTGGTAACATCTGTATGCGAATAACTATTTAACGGCGAAATTAATCTAAATAACTCTCCAATTCTTTTATAAAACCAGCAAAGTTTAGCTAAAGTCACTTCAGGTATTTTGTGACGCGGTTTTTATAAGTTTAACGTTCAAGAGGGCTGTCGTTAGACTCCAACTGTTTGGCTATATTAAAAATAAGAGCTAATAAAAGGGGAACGAAAGTTTGGTCTAATTTTAATTACATTGTGCATATCAAAGAGAGAACTTACAGAGATTCTCTGTACTATTAAGAAGAAGATGGACATCACCGACAGAGTTATTCTAAGTCTCTTGCCTCCAAACCGCTTCTTCAAAAACTCGGGCATTGTATATACCTGTAAATAGAATTAACAGATGACCCGTAAATTCCGGGGTTGTCGGGTGGGGTGACCAAAACCCTTGGGATTGGCGACAAAAATTAAAAATAAAAATCACCAATAAATCTTTTCAGAAGACTTAGCTTATCTTTTTTGTCTTTTTTTAAGCTCTTTATATAGGCTCTTTATATAAGCATATCGACATCACTTCTCCAATAAAATTAAGGCTCTTTCCCTTAGTTCTGCAGGCAGATAACGTTAATAAAACCATCTTTAGAAGACCTTTTAAAGAAATGTTCAATTGAAGAATACTTACTCCACTGGCGACATACACTGGTACAAAAACCCAGCCTAATAAAATTAACATGAATATTGCCTACAATAGATATATAAATAAGTAATATAAAAAGGACTCTTTTACATCCTCTAGTTTGGCTTACAATCTTTTCAAAGATAATTTACAAACTCCATATCGTCTTATTTTATATCATTGGTCCTTTTATACTCATGCATGAACATTTTGGCTCCCGATTAGAATTGGCATTGGTGATGTCGACCAAAGAATTTAAATACTCACATGCCATTCATATATAACCACGCCCAATCCACTTGCGGCAGCTGTACCCGCCATTCCCACAAAGAAATGACTTCCAAAATTGGTGGCAAACATCGAGGCACCGATCTGAAAGAATGAATGATTAAAAAAAATGCACCGCTAAATTAATTGGCAAATGAATGAAAGAATGATCTGAATACTATTAAATGATGATGATGAATGAATGAATGAATGGTAAAAGGATTCAATGAATGAATGGCAGAATGAACCAACAAATGAACGAAAGAATCGATGGATGAAGGAAGGAAGGAATGAATGAATGGTAAAAGGATTCATTGAATGAATGGCAGAATGAACCAACAAATGAACGAAAGAATCGATGGATGAAGGAAGGAAGGAATGAATGAATGGTAAAAGGATTCATTGAATGAATGGCAGAATGAACCAACAAATGAACGAAAGAATCGATGGATGAAGGAAGGAAGGAATGAATGAATGGTAAAAGGATTCAATGAATGAATGGCAGAATGAACCAACAAATGAACGAAAGAATCGATGGATGAAGGAAGGAAGGAATGAAATAATTACTCACTGGAGCCCATATCATATTTCTTCCCGCCAAAAAATAGCCTTTAACACTTCCGGTGTTTTCTTTAAATGACGACTGAAACACAAAAAAAATATAATTCGATAAAGAATGCAGGACTTGTGCGTGTACATCTGTGATGGGATGGGAGAACTTCACTTCAATTCAAAACAATATCTAGTGATCTGATTGGCTAAGGAAGTCTGTAATGCAATGATCTGTGGCTCAACTAAATGAGTGGATTTCAGTGGATTGGGGCCCTTCCCCCGGGAAATTTATTTTTGACAATTGCATTCTGAGACACCCTGTAAGTCAATGTAATGCCTGGTAATGGAAGAATTAAAGATTTTCAGTCTAGTTAATATTATTTCCAGACGGGGGCCCGTGGCCTTGGTGTAACCAGTCCATATGGTAGCTGAGCCACTAGCAATGGTATACCATTCATATGACAGAAATTTTACTACGAACTTTTGCGTTTTATGAACACGACAAAAAGTACCGGACCTCGTCTCTCAAAATATCGTAGATTAGCGTAAACGTAAAAAATAACGGGACCAGATATGAACCTGTTGTCCAAGTTCCCCTGGGTGGTTGTGAAAAAAAAAACATCAATGCCACTCACCCATAAACCGACCAGTATACATAGCACAAAATATCCCAGAATCACAACCAAATCACCCCAATGAAGCTCCGTCATTTTTGCTGAACTTTTATTTCCGTATCCTCAAAACTTACAGTAAACTTCCGAGTTTTCAAATTAATGAATTAATTAAAGGCAATTACTTTCCGGCACATGTACATCGTGTATGTAATTTATGTTCATTAGATAGTCCGAAATACCGACATCGACATGGCTAGAGAGAGTTGTGACCGGCAGCTTGGCGTTTCCACCAAAAGCTCTGTAGACGCACCAAGGCCGCTGTCTACATATTTGCCGGAAATATACGGTAACGACAACGAATGTTCTGAAATCTTAAAACAAGCTTTAAGTGTGTTTTTGTTAAATAATGGTTTACGCCTGTTAGCAGCATCTGATTCGATTACAGTCGAGGGAGATTCCATGCAGTCAATGTCGGCGCAGATTGACTCAGTAGGGGGACAACTGTTGAGACTGGATTCAAAACGCGACAACTCTCTGGAAGCGTCAAAGTCGCAAGTCATTCATGGAGAGTCTGTAAAAGATTCTGAAAAATTGAATTTTTTGGTGCACTTTGAGTTTGACATACTTTCAAATTTGTTAAAAACGCAGCGGGGGTACAATTGGGGGTGCAAGCCCCCTGCACCCTCACTCGCATCACCATTACATGCAGTGTGCTAAGAGGACAATTTTACCACGACAGCAGCAATAGCCTAGGGCATATTCGCTTTCCAACTGTGGAGAAAATTGTAATACTTCGTTTTTGTTTCTCTTTAACTTTCAGAATGTGAAATGCGCATATTTGATTATTTCAAATTACACAATAAAGGCCAACTTCAAACTGACGCATTTCATAATAAGTCAAATAACATATAAAAAATGTCGAGCAAAATTAATCGAATTGAATAACCCAATTATAAAGTTTACGCCGGCAGTTATTTCACATGACTCATGCGGTGTACAGGATAGTCAAATCTGTTTCGATTTTCAGCGGTCGAGGGACACAGGTACACAGTAGCCTACACAGCCTGTAGCACAGGGCCTCGCATTATTGTCCCATCAAAACGACTAGACGCTTTTTCCATGTCTTACTTATATAACTGACAGGTGGAAACCGGAAAAAAATAAGTGTTATCTCATGGCGAGATCTACGATTCAGGGTAGCGAGCAAGCGTAGTAGTAATGGTCCTTGAGGATAACAACTTAGGTTCACGAGGATCCTTTCTACCAGCTGTTCCTTGGTCAAACATATTGGTATTGATTTTACAAGGATAACAACTTAGGTTCACAAGGATCCTTTCTACTTGCTGTCAAACCTCATAGCATTAGTTTTTCCCAGATTATCCCTATCGATGTACAGCTGGGTCGACTGGAATATTCAAAAAAGATGACTCATTAAAGATCACTGAATCTTCAGAAAAATATCAGATATCTGATTGAAATGTGGAATTGTGAAATAGATGCTATCAGTTATCAAATTTAGAAAAAACTCTTTACAATCCCATTTATGACCGAATTTGTGGACCGTATCCCTTATAAATAGACGATCAGATGCAAGGTTATAATCGCTTAATGAAATGTATTGGAACTTTTATGAAACATGAAATTCAATTTAAACAATTGTTTCACTATGTTCAACAATGGCGTTAGTTCGTTACAAAAACAAATACTGATAAAAAATTAAATGAATTGAGTTTTACATCTACTTTTCTGCACCAGGTGGGCTAATGAAGACGGATATATTGATAAAAAAAACCAAAAAAAACAATAAGTATACTTCGATATATTGGGACATAATGGCCTATAAAATTAATTCTATTCTGTCCGAATAAAAAAAAGTGGGAATAGACGAGGTTTTTACAGAAAATAGTAGAAGCGGCTCGTTTCTGCATAGAGCCCGGATCCCGTACTGTCTCGATTATCCTATACCGTACGTACCTCGTCAATTTTTGGCTTTACGTTAACCTATACATAATGGAAAGAGACTACAGGACCGACAACTCTGTGAGAAAACGTATCTCATGATTTAGACCTATGGTTTAGTGCCTACTCTTTTTGAAACACCTCGTGGTACTTCTCACTTGAGAGTCCACCACTATACAATTATTGCTCCCGATTTTGTCATACTTTGGACGAGATTTTTGGTTATCGGAATGGTTTTGATGTTTATGGTCTATTCGTTGTAAATAAACTTTATTATCAAGCCTGTGAACAGTTTAGTTACGCGTGTAATCAAGGGCACTGATTGGCTGTATTTGGTAGCGTACCATCCAATCAAATCGTTTACAAAAGCATGGAAGGCGACTATTGGAGTCAAGGTATAGGACCAAGTAGGTTATAGCTTGGTATTGCGAAGACATTAGGCAAACAATGCGATCAGAAATACTGTCCACGCCATGACGAGCAAGGCATTAAAATCCAAGAAACGCCTAATCCACATTGGTTCGTGGACTCCTCTGTACTGCTTCGTGGCTTCCTCTTCCATTGCTTTGGTCGGAGCTTTTCCTTTAAAACTCGAGTAACAGCACAGAATATTGTAAATACGCTGCCTTACAGTCAGTTTGGGTTCTGAAATAGAATTCAGGGCCAAATGAATTAGAATTGACGTCTGCAGTTCTAAATTTTAATGGTCTCGAATTTCTTATAATGATCAATTGCCTGGAGAGTTCTCCTCCACGTCCTCGCCCACCCCACAACAATTCTATGGCCTCTACTTGGGACCCTTAAATAATGTTTCAGAAACACTCCTCTCCCCACCCGCCCTTTTTTATTTGAACAATTCACAAGCATGTGATTTTCCATACTTACCCACTTCCTGTTCCTTCTCCTCGACGTCTTCGTCTCCAGCATGATCAAAATCATCTTCATCATCACTTACCTCCCTTGGTTCTGATCGTCTGGTCGCCCACGTGACTCTTCGAAGCTGAAATTCATCAAAGGTTACATGACAAACTAGCTATGCTTCACGCGAAGCCATGATGTTTGCATTAATTGCAATACCTTGACATTGTGAAGATACACCAGGGGATACTCTATGATCAAGCAAAAACGACTTTTCAGACAAAAACAAAGCAAAACTTGCTTTACCTTAATCTCGTCCCGTGGTTGGGTAAACAAACTGACGACGACACAAACAATAAACACCACTCCAGTTAGAATTACAGCAAAATGGAGAAAATGTACTTTATAGAGAATTGCCGGCCTGGTTTCATCATCTCCACAAGATGGCTTCTGATAGGCTAAATCTATCACTAGACGAGAACCACCGACAGCTAGACCCGCCATTAGACTCCAAAACGCTCCCTGGAACAATTAACAGATTGAAATGAAATCATTTGATGTTTTACGCCTTACTTTTCTGTATTGTGCTAACGAAAAAGGGATTTTTACATCCTACTGTTATGAACCAAAAGAGGCCGTCGTATTGCTCTACATTGGGTTTCGTTATCTCAGAATCCGTCAACGTTAACAAGAAAGGGGCTCCTTAAGACACGCTTTGATTAGTTAAAGTAACATAATTCGAACGGAACTGTGTTAGAAAACATGTTAGATTACAGTGGAGACGAAAATATTAGAAATAAAAACGAAAGTGTAATCTAATTCTAAAAAGAATCGGACCATGCCTACCTTTTCTGTAGTCCTCTTCCAAGCCAAACCCATGATAAAAACCACGACCCATGGTGGAGCAAGATACGCCTGCATGGCTTGAAGGTAGTTCCACAGTTGTCCCCCTTGATTAGCTGTTAATATCGGTACCCAGAGAATGCTGATACCCACTAAAACAACGATGAATACCCTGAAAGTAACATAGTATCATAGTGACGTTAGGGACACAGAATTGTCGCGAGGGCTCACCAGGCACCAGGCATTTAAACTCAATAACAAGAAAATTATGTATTGTTGAGTTGCTATAGATGAGACCCCTTCAAAATATTGGGCTAGCTACGGGCCTGGCCACAACAGAACAAGCCTCGAACAATATCAATTCAATTCAATGCCAAGCTATTACCAACATCGTCTTATACCTTGACTCTAATATCCACCTTTTTGTATCATGGAATACAGCCAATAAGGGCTCTCGACAGAAAGACTGTAGACTTACCGTCCAACAATCATAAGTTCTCTTTCTGAAGCTTTCCGTCTGAATCTGGTCCAGAGATCTAGAGTGAACATACTACTAGAACTGTTAAATACTGACGTCAGGGTACTCATTAGAGCTGATAACATACACGCTAACATCAACCCTCGTACACCTGGTGGGGGACAAAATATTAAAATAGTACATTGTAAATTCAAACATGAAACTGGGTCTTTACGTAAATCAATGCAAACGGCAAATACAGGGATGGAAAAGCTTCAGATCATAGGCATTAATAGAAATGGCAGGGCTTTTTCGAAGTTTTATATGCAGTGTGCAATGAGGGAATTTTTTGCCAGGACAGAATCATTTACAAATATAGACGTCCTCGAGTAAACCATTAAGTGTACAGTTTATGAAGATCGTACGGCATAATTTAATGGACGAACATTCACAAAATGCAAAGGTTAGAAAGTCCAAAATCATTGCAATTTTGCCAAATCATCAAATGCAGTGTGCTCTCATTGTAAGAATCGGTAAGCTATGGACGAGCCTGTGTTACCCGGTTACCGGATACATTTCTACATACCAGAGGGAAGTACTTCTACGACTAATTTTGGATAAACTATATTGGAACAACCATTGGGATTCTCACAGACTTTCATACAAATATCAGGATCTACACAACCTATTTCATCTGATAAAAGAAAGGCATTGATATATATACATATACTAAGGTTAGAAACATTAAAGGGATTGTAAAAAGGTTTCTTAACTTTTCATATGTTCCCCTAGAAAAAGAGGTATAGTCCCTGATGACTGCATAATTTTATTGCTGAGACTACTCACCAGGAAAGAGAACTCGTCCTATCATACCAGGAAGAATCACCAAGAAAAATGGAGTAATTTTTAACCACGCAGCAAAAATAACACCACCTTTAGCATGGGAATGAGTTTTAGCTGCCAGAACTCTTTGAACCATCACCTGAAAGTGTTGACCATATTTCAAAATTTCCAATTCCAATTCCAGTTTTCAGTCAGTCTTCTGAAGAGCTTAAAGGGATTGTAAAGAGGTTTTCTAAACTTTTTATGCGTATTTGGGACACTTATAGCACCATTTTTTTTTTCAGTCAGACGTCTGTGGTTCCTGCAATTCCATTAAATCGTTATGACGTCACTGTCGCACAGGACCTCAGATTTATTTTATTAGCAGCTTTTATGATAATGACCTCTTCGAAATCTTTTTAAAGCTTTTATGTTGAAGAAAGAACAAGTACCTGATCAGTACACCAAGCTAAAATGGCCATAGGTGTCAGCCCGAATATAGCCCCAGTCCACGGGATGTCGCCAGTAATGGGATCTCGGAATATGTGTAGAGCATCCTCACGCGGGTAACCCATAGTAACGTTTCGGCACGTAGTAACATTCGGAGCTGAATTCATGTACTTTTCGAATAATGCTTCCATTCCACCGACTTTAATAAAAGCTGAAAAAATACAACAGTGTATCGAGGACGAATTGGAATGACGAAATAGCCAAATTCTATTAATGCGACTAAACATCATACACCATTGTTCCTCCTGATATATTACTGGCCCCTCCAAACAATCAAGCCTGGCTACGGGCCTAAAGCTAACTGTAGCCTCCTTAATTTGACAGTACGGACTGCTTAGATTAATAGGAAGTAAGGAAACAGAACACAGCTAAAGGTACGAAACAAAACCAGTTATTACATGATATCGACCATAGAATTATCTACTCACAAGCTACAGTAAGGTATGTTGAACCAACCATCATGATTACTGTTTGTAGAGTATCAGTCCATATAACTGCTGATAAACCTCCTAAAATGTAAATCAACACCCAATAGACCATAAGATTCCGTTAGGAAAGAAGTATGAAACTCGCACCATATATCAAACTTCAATATTCCAGCAATTATATGTAAAGGAAATGAATAACAGTTTCTGCTCTATTTAGTCTAATGAAAAGAGTGCAGTGTGTAATGAGGGAAATTTTGTCAAATATACCCATTGTATAGGCTACCTATAGAGGGGCTATTCCACTTAATACGTACCTATAATAGTATAAACGGCTGTGATAAGAGTTACACTGACAATTGAAAGATACATATTCCATCCTAGAGATTGTTGAATAAAGATCGCTCCAGCATACATACTCACCTAGAAATGGAGATTAGAATAAAATACAATACAAGGGAGATTTTCATTCTACTTTTCGGCGACACATTGGACCAATGGGGCGGGTGACGCTGTGTATAATCTACTGGCTTTGCGGCAGAACTGAACAAGAATTCATCTCATTTCATAATTTTACTGACACATGAAACAATAACACACTAACATTTTTTAGAGACGGTGATTTGCTCATAAGATCTGAGTATGTAAAAAGCTCAGAGAGAAACGTACCGAGATCTTTTGAATGATAAGTAGGAAAATGGCCAGCACTGAAAGATATATTCTCAATCGTTTTCCACCAAACCTCTTCTTTAAATACTGGGGCATCGTATAGGCCTGAGATAAAATTTTAAAAAAAAAACATGTGTTCATGGACATGTCCAATAAACGTAACACAAAAGCCAAATAAAAGATAACGATTCTGTGTTGACTTTTAGACAAAAACTTCATCACAGAGCAAAAATGTTATCCAAATTTGGTTAATGAAGGTCTGGTGCCGTTTAAATGTTAAACATTCCTGTATATATTGTTAGACCTTAAAGCCGGTATTTGGCAAATAACTACTAACATGATCTTATTTTAAAATCGATGTGTTTCTGATTTCTTCAATGATGTGATCTACTGTGAATTTGTCGGAGATGATTAGGCTACTTAAAATCTGATATGAGAAGTGGATTATGGCAATTCAAGTACTCACCCCACTCGACACATAAACTGGTACAAAAAACCATCCCAACAACATCAATATAAACACTGCCTGTAAGCCGAAAGGACAAAACTAAATAGTATACACGGTGAATTCGACAGGAATCAAATGAGCATGGCTATCAAGTTGAAAATACCATAGATAGATATTGAAAGCAACATGTTTGATGGTGTGCCAGCTCCTTCAAAGTTAATAAAAGGCTAAAAGTCATAAATATCGACCTTGAAATTTGAAGGTAAAGGAGCGTTTTTTCAGTGTATCAGAAGAGTAAGGATTCGATTGAAGATAGCATGGAATACATACATGCCATTCATAGATGACCACGCCTAGTCCGCTAGCAGCCGCCGTTCCCGCCATACCAACAAAGAAATGGCTGCCAAAGTTGGTGGCAAATATTGAAGCACCCACCTGAAAGAGAAAACATTACAAAAACAGGGGTAAATATATTAAAGCTACCATGGCATTAAAGCTACCATGAAATATTAGACAAGATTGAGATTGAGTCTTACCGGTAGCCATATCATATTTCTTCCCGCCAAAAAGTATCCTTTCACACTTCCGGTGTTCTCTTTACATGACGACTGAAAAAAAGAAACATAGAACTATATCGAATTTGCCAATATTTGTGTAGTGTTACTAAACCCATGCCGTTCGCAGACGCTAAAATTTGAGTTGCATGGTCTTGATGTGATATCTGAAAAGACAAACATGGTATCTTGTCACGCAAAGAACTCGGATGAAATAACCCCCAAATGTGCTAGGGAGCTACCTGTCAAAAATTATATTTGCCGAATATATTGCCAATTAGATTTCAGGTTTCGTTTTGCGGTTCTGATCATTAGAACTTGGGATTATTTTTATGGATGCTATAATGTAATACTTACCCATAATCCAACAGCCATACAGAGAACAAAGTATAGAATGATGATGAGAAGATCGGCCCAATGAAGCTCCGCCATCTTGGATACCCTTGACGTCTACCAATTCCTCGAGAAACTTCAATTTCTGGTCACTGAGTTACTGTAAACAAATGAAAACAGTGCGACATCTTTGGTAAACAGTAGACTCGGAGTGATTTTAAGGGGATACAAATAGGGGACAGTCTTACTAAATGGAGAGGAGAGAGTGAGATTCAAAACGCAGCAGCTCTTTGGAACCGCCACGTCTGTCACGGAACGTGGTAGGTTCTCCCCAAGATAGGTTTTTTACAAACAATTTGAAGACGGAGTAACTTTGTGTTTCTATTTATGGCGTCTCTTTGCAGCATTCCAATTTTCCGTTTTTCCGTCAAGGTTCAGTCTGTTTGCGAGTTGGATATTCTCGTATGTATTATTATCGAGTGCAAGTGGTCACGGTCATATCTAATATAAAACCGTTCTGTTATCATATCTTAACATATATCAGCATAGATAAGACCAGGTTGTTTGACATCAACACTGTGAAAATTATGATCTTTCTTCTGATAAATTGATAAATCCTACTGTCCATCTTCATTCACATGCTAGCAAGCGTAGCAAAACTTTAATGGTGCCTGCCGAGGAACTTCAAGTACCAAACTAGCTACAATGAGATTCTCTGGTGTTTTGGCTTAGCAAAGACCCAGTAATGTTACATAAATAGAAACTTTTTCTTTTGCCTCGCTTAAACATGAATGCCCGTGACACCATGCCGAACGAATCACCCCCTCCCCCCCCCCCCATAGTCTATTCAAAGCAATTACTGGAGCCGCGGTGGCTAAGTGTGTTAGACGAATGCTCGCTAACCTAACCAATCAGAATTCAATCTTAGCATATATCGAGGTAATACCTTTTTCCAACCTAGTTTCCAGCTGTCAGAGGTGGGCGTCACTCAAGGCGCTGTCTTATCATAATTCCAATCAAACGCAGAGAAGAAGGATTAGCTAGACATTCGACTCACCTGTAATTAGCAGATCTTGCCTAATTTTTCACCTGTGTTGTCTTCATCACTCCTCAATAACTAAATCTACATATCTTCCTCGCCTTGTATGTTAATAATTAGAATAAACTTGGTTGAGTCAAGATACTTGATAAACGTAAACAATACTGTACATACTAACAATGTTATATAGTCAAAGATAAATATGGTTTACAGATTTTGGTTAAACTAATATGTACATGTTTACAAAATATATAATATATAAGACAATACAAATGAATGGAGTTTTACGTCCTACTTTTCAGCACCATATGGGCTAATGAAGACAGGCAACGTCATGCAGGGTGCAATGAGGGAAATTTTGCCAGGACAGTGGCATTAGCATGCATCTTCTATCGAGGGATCTTTAACTTGCAAAGCCTGTAGCACACGAAACCCCGGTTTGTTGTCCCATCTGAACGACCAGACACTTGTTCCATGTCAGCTCCTCCGACTTGCATCGCGGACAGGGGGGAACTAGGTGGAAAACTCTGAAGGTATCATCTCGACCTATGCCGGGATTAAACCCTGGACCTTCAGGTTAGCGAGCAAGCGTCTAACTCACTCAGCCACCGCGGCTCCCCAAGGATAATACAAGACAGTTGATCCAGGGACAACAGACATAAAGGTTATTGAGTAAAAGGTTACTCCACCCCATCCCAAAGGTGATACTGGTCCGGCTTTGCCATCGCCCCCAACCATTAAATCGGTGGTCATACTCAGTATTCATATTCATGATTCAAAGAACCGCCACTGCTTCCAGGTGAGCAATTTTATACAGTCAGACTGTGGGCTTAAGAGCGGCAGAAGATATGGACATCAAGGAGGATCACAGACACCGCATTCTTGACATGTGGATGTCGCGTCCTTGTCACCCAATCTGCATAGATTAACCTTAACAACTCAGGTTCGCCTGCTCCACTTCGACTCACTTCATACATGCATTAAGACTTTTAAAATTCACACACGAGAGATTCTGATTTCTACGTCCAATTGACACTTTTGAAGTGTGTGCGTTACATGCATTTAAACACCCCCCATCCCCTCCCCCTCCCAGAGGACACGCCCCATTCTTAAGCTATATCATTTTTTTCAGACATATGAGGGTTTTATTCAATAGACAAATTAACAATAGAATTTAAGGGGAAAATGTACGTTTTTCTGAACTTTCAATGTGTACTAAGTAACTTGACACGCCTTTAACTAAAGCGAACTCTTCCACAAATGCATATTTCAACAATTTCTATGATCATACTTGTAAGGAAGAGTTCATTTAGAAAATGAGGGGTGTTTTTTTACTTAACACAATGAAACCAGTCTGTAAAATGCAATTGTTTCAAATTTATGGTGGGATTTGAGCAGTGGGTATGTAGGAAGCCAGTGGACCATTAGGATCAATGAAACAATTGTTTGGAATTCTAGCGCGTTGCATGCATGTTTTTATACAATCGCTCCACATTAGACCTGCAGGACAACTCATTACCAAGGGATCTAGGAAATCATTGCATTCAATAAACTTGTGGAAATCTAAGGGATAGGCATAAAAGCGCTCGTTCCCCTGTTGATCCATGTGAAGACAGGGGTTGATCAAAGTGTCGCGCTTTTCGCACGACAGTTTCGTTTCCTGCCAAATAAGGTCTCCTTCACAGGACATTACATATGCGTTACCCCAAGGGTCACATTGTATATATAAATGAATGTCCAATGGATGTGTGAAATAGTATTTGCCAGCGAGGATATTTTCCGTTGTGCAATATCCGTCGAATTTTGAGTTGATATTAGATGCATTACAATTTGTAATAACTGGTTGATTTTTTCCGTAGCAGAGTTGGCATTGGGGGGCAAACACCTCTCCCTCGGGACAACTTGCGATAATTGCCTTCGAAGACTGACATATATAAAATTTGGTATTGTCCCCAGGGTAGGGGAACCTGGTTTTGCCCGTGGCAAGATTTTCCTTGGTACATGGGTTATATGAGTTGTGTACTTTTCCACCTGCAAAAAATAAAAAATTAGAAAAAAGAATAATGCCAAGGAACCTTTATATTTGTGGATTCAAAAATTACATTGAGATTCAACAGAGTTCTTTTTAGTTTAAAATTCATTTTGTCAGTACTCATTTTGGAGGGGAGGGGGGGGATGCTGCACTTTACATGTACGTATAGATGAGTATGTACAGGATTATTGATACAGTAGAAAATAGGTAGAAATAGGCCCCCACCTGGCTGACTCTCGAAAGCACTGACACATTCATCAGAATATTTCTTACCTTGAGGATTCGAACCCACGGCACCTAATCACCTAGCAATAGAAATGCTGGTCGTATTGGCCCTCTAGATATACCATCTCAAGGAATTTGTTACATCACAGTAAAAATGATAACAATTGGGTACAGTATACTTACCTGGACAAAGTTCTTCCTCTGTACAGTTTCTTCTAACGCCATTTTCTTCACAATATATATATACAGCTATAAATAAAATATCAGTTATATAGATCATAACCTTTTACACCCCCGGTTCCCAACCTGACTAGGGTGTTTTCACCCCCTAGGGATGTGAGAATAGGGTGTCAGGGGTTTGGTCAACTGGTGTAGGAGATGATTTGTTTTGAATTGAGAGAGCACCTCACACCCGAGGAAAATGTGGATGAAATAAATTTTTGGGGGTGTGAAAGTTCCAGGTGATTGCTCCAGGGGTGTGAAGGCTGAAAAAGGTTCGGAACCACTGTTTTACATCCTCTAGGTTGACTTAATCCTATTGATATATGTTTATACAAAATATCATTTGTCTGTTTTGACAGTCGACCCAACTGTAAATAAGTACAGGTAATCCAATCCAAGATCCAAAAGGTTTGACATAGGATCAACTGGTACATAGGATCCACTGGTACATAGGATCCACTGGTACATAGGATCAACTGGTACATAGGATCCACTGGTACATAGGATCCACTGGTACATAGGATCCTTGTGAACCTAAGTTATAATTTTTTTTTCTAAAATATGGTTCTTTCTTTCACTTTCATTTTGACATTAAAAACTAGAATTTGAGCGCCTTTGATTTACGGTAAATTTTATCAACATTTTTATTTTCCACGATACTTACTGTGTCTGAGTTGACCTTGAAATGGGGTCAAGGTGAGCAAACAAGGACCGTTACCAAAGATCAAATGGTCTTCAGGTTTAACATAGAGATATTTCTGATTCTCCACGCCTGGTTGATAAAATTCTGATTCATTATAATACTGGACAACAACTTGTTTGTCACTAGCAGCGACTCCTGGGTAGGCCTGGGATACAGAGCTATAGACTGTTACTCCACCACATGTGATGTTTGCCTAGAAAGGAAAAAATGACAGAGAATGACAGGTGCCTATCATAACTATCACATACCTAACTAACTTGCCTACAAACAGTCAGAGGCAATAATATTTTAAACCTCTACAAATTGTGATATTTGTGGTCAAAGGGAGACAATCAGCTCCATTTGGTTATATTTCAGGTTATGATCATTGCCTATCATTTCATTTGCAACCGACATACCGGGTAAAAGGGGAGGTAACTTCTAATGTTTAAACCAATAAACCCTACCTGTATGGTCAAACCTATAGATGGTAGAGGGAAAGCGTATGGAGGACATCTTCCAATTTCACATGTTACAGTGAAGTTAGCATACAGAGGTGCTGAAAAATAGACAAGTTTCAGATACACAATCCTCATCAGGACAGATAGTTTTAGAAATGGAGGTTAACTTTCTTATATAGGACTTAATGTTATCTAATTGACTAGAGCTCATCTCATGTTGCTGACACATGTTTCAGATATAAAATCCTCATCAGTTAATGCCTAATGGACCGGTTATAAAGAATGAAATCATGAAATCATTGATTTTGAGAAGGGAATCAACAATGAGAATATTCTCTTAAATAAACCTCATACCTCTACAAACACTGTGTTGTATTTCTTCCACCAGGGCGTTGATGCCTTGAAAGTCTGCGACGGTGTAGGTATGGGTACATGCAGGTGATGAAGATATATAGTTCAATTCCGTCTGATCGATCAATTTTCCAACACCAACAGTAAATACTGCAATTCCGTCTGCTTTCAAATTGTCTGTGGAATGCTTGGTGTTGATGAAATCGTCTGATTTTCCATCAGTGACAAGGACAGCGACTTTTACTGCATCTGAACGAGCCGATGTGAAAGTTATCCTCGCTTTGTCCAATGCTCCAGCTGTATTTGTACTCCCCGCTTCGAAATTTATATCATTTATCATCTTTATGATATTACTTTGCGTCTGTGTACTGCAAAACAAAATTATGATGAAATATTTCAGTCATCTGAGTGGTCAATCTAATGCATTTGAAAATTAAGTGGATTCACTCGAGGGTTAGAGGGTGTGCACTATATTGAAGAATTAAACGTTGGTCTCAATAGTATTATTTGTGTGTAAACACAATTGATCATGTGACATTCACAACAATACCATACTGTATTTTATAGATAAAAAAATCGTTATATTAGTATTTGTATTAGGTTAAAAAAAAGTAACTTTCCAAAATCAGAACGGGACAAGAATTTTTGTAATCAGATTGGTAGCAGTAACAATTTCTGTATTGGAGATGTACAGCCACTAAAATCTGGGCCCCTGGACAGTCCTTGTGGGTCTGACCCCTCAGTTAGCCCTGGGTAAAAATGCAAAAATTTCATGACTTACTCGGAAAATCTGATGGCTTCAGTGACTTGTGTTGAATATCGAATCACAGCGATTCTTGTGTCCCTGTTTCCAATGTTAAATTCACCGATGATGTTTGTCATGAAGGCCTTGACTCTTACAAGGTCATCTGGATTCACACTGCTCGAAGAATCAATGATGAACACCATATCTATAGCTTCATTCCCCTTGCAACCTGAAAATAATAGGAAATGAAATAGTAGCTTCTGGTAGCTCCCTCTAGTGACGTCATAAAATGCGTTCGTTTAAGTTGAATTGCAAGAACCACAGATTTCTGATTGAAAATTGGAATGGTGCAAATTGATGCTATCAGTGTCCCTGATACACATAAAATGTTTAGAAAACCTCTTTAAAATCCCTTTAAGGTGTACAAACTATAGCACACATGGGACCTTGGCTTATTGTCCCATTCAAATAACTAGATGCTTTTCCATGTCAGCTCCTCCGACCTGCATCACTGACAGAAACTTGGGTTGAAAAAAGTGTCTCATCTAAGGAACTATATTTATCCTCAGACACCTTGGGTTGTCCTGTAAGCATTCTACTCGATTAGCTCTGCCTTCCAATACCAGAAAGAGTGAGTACAAATTTGACCTGGCTTTCTGACAAAAATTTCACCAACCTTGACTGACGAACAACATTGATTCCATGATGACTGTAGCAGTATTGTAGATGGTAACAGATTTGAATCAAGAGCACTATGCATTGTGCAATGAGGGAAATTTTGTCAAAAATTAGACCTACCTTGATTCATCAAGTTCACAGTAGCAGTATAATTGTAGGCCGATTCTCCAAATTGAAAAAACTTAAACCACAAGTTGCCTTGTAGTTCTACTTCTGGTGGAATTCGGGGGATATTTTGAGCATGCATCTGTTGAACTGTAATTAAAACAGCCGCTAGCCCTGAAATAGATTCAAATAATCTTCAAAATTCAATTTTTGTCATTCACAATTAATGAATGGTTGTAGCTTTCTGAAAATAAACGTATACTGTATATTTCAATGGATAGTGCAAAGTTTTCTACCCCAAAAAGGTTTTCAAACTGACAGGTCTCATATCACAGTGAGTATTTGGGGAGGTTTCCTAGTCAATATTGACAGCCTGACGCTCTGTAATTGATTGCTGATGGTCAAAGGTGCTATATGTGGAAGACCACACCCAACATGATCAAGTCTATCAAATTTGAAAAAAAAGCCAGCATGCAAAATTGAGAACAGACAGAAATAATTTTTCCATGAATTGGTAAAATAAATATTTAGGCAATGCTCACCTGAATATAGAGGTTTAACTAACTCTGGCCATTGAACATCCAACCAGTTCCTACCCAATAGTTTGTTTATTTTATCAAGGTAAGGCTGTAATACCACATCATTCTTCGTTCTTTGAAAAAAACCTTTAGTTATCTGAAAACACCAAAAAATTTGAGCAAATTTGAATCTGAGGGAGCTATGGTATCTTAGTGAGAAAGACGCTTGCTCACTAACCTGAAGGTCTATGATTCAATCCCAGAATAGGTTTCATCTTGTCAGTGATGCAGGTTAGAGGGACTGATATGGAACAGCGTCTAGTCTTCAGATGGGACAGCAAACGGAGGTCTCGTGTGCTACAGACTGTGCACAATAAAAAATCTCTCAACATTTAGAAATCAAAAAAGTGTAGGCTGACCAATACTGCCCTCATTGCACACTGCCTGTTGTTGCCCGTCTGCAGAAATGTACAACAGAAATCTGCATTCATTTCATTTCCTAAGTTTGGTGATTTGAGATAAAGCAACCCTTTCATAATCGTAGTCAACAATTCTCTCACCTTCCAAATGCCGCCATGGACCCCACTAGCAGAAGGAAGAGTTCCATCCCTTGTTTTGACGTATGCCCATCTTCGTAGAAATCTGTTCTCTTCAGGAAAGATACAATTTTCACGAATCAAATCAACAACAGCTTCTACGACTTCCGAGCCGTGAGCGAAGGGTTGTTGGGTCAAGTCTTGAGCTTGGCTTGCTGACAGCAGACACAGCAAGGAAAATATTCTGAAAGGACAAAACAAAATCATAAAAGATTCGGCCAATGGTTCCTGAATAGCTAAAGATGCTAATAATAATGGATAATGAATGCAGATGATCAATGCCATACAGTGTGCAATGAGGAAATATTTTTTGCCAGAGCAGAGGCATTTACAAAATCAACTGTGGAGGCATCTATAATGTGTACAGCCTGTAGCTCACAGGGCTTCCGTCCTATCTGAACGAGTAGACCAGATGCAAAGATCCGAAGAAATCATCTCAAGGTATGTCAAGATCAAATCCTGAACCTTCAGGTTAATCAGGCAAGCATCTTTCTTACTGAACCACCGCGCCCCCTAAAAGATTACTAAAATACTTACAAGAGAATCATGGTGACCAAACAACGCAGCTTGAAATTTTCGTTCACTGTGATCTCAAATTAACAGTTGCATTTATTTATATTATCATTTTTATCTCAAAAATTATCTTTAAATAAACATGCATATGATAACAATTTAAAGGGATTTTGAAAATGTTTTTTTATCATATTTGCCCCTTTTTTTTTGCGTATTTTGGACATTAATTGCTGAAATTTGCATAATTCCATTTTTTTTAATGTCTATGGATCCTATTGCAAAATCTCCCAGTAAAATTATAGGGCCCTTAAGATAGCTACATAGCAACGCTTAGTTTCAGTGGAATGGTAAGATTCACAGACGTCTGATTGAAAATTAGAATGATCCAAATTGATACTATCAGTGTCCCCAAGACACATAAACAATTCAACATCTTTACAATCACTTTAAAAGGTGAACCAGTATAATTCAAGTTTATTTTTTTTAAATCGTTTGACGTGAGCAAATACTTCAGCTGTCAGTCATGAAACTATGGTATCTTTGTTACCATGTCTGAATTGATAACAGAACTGGTGGTTGTCATCTAGTGAATATATGACTGCGGTAAGACATCAAGGAAGTTTTTTTGGGTCTCAAACAATTCAACATTTTCAAAAGATATCACCTTAGCAAGCCTTCAAGGAAGTTCAAAGGGTTCTAGTTTTATTGTCTTATCAGAGCATCTCCATGCTACCCATGAACAATACAGTAGTCATTTCATGATAATACAACAGTAAAAACTGTTATTGTCACCTAGTGAAGATATGACTTATCATTGATAAAAAACTTCCTGAATGATAACACAAGGTTATAACTATACAATATTTAAGGGGAATCACCATAAAGGTCAATAAGGTCAAGACAAAGACAACGTGAACGTATAATATTGTCAAGCATATCTTTCGCATCAAAAAGATCGTACGACTAAACTTGCATGTTAAAGTGAGAAAGGTTCTGTAAACTATTTGTTATTTTAGACGTTATCAAATCGTTAAGTTATAACATTTAGGCTCACACATTAATCTACAATATTTAGAGAAACGATGCCGACACATTAATCTACGATACTTAGAGAAACGATGCCCACACATTAATCTACGATACTTAGAGAAACGATGCCCACACATTAATCTACGATACTTAGAGAAACGATGCCCACACATTAATCTACGATATTTAGAGAAACGATGCCCACACATTAATCTATAATATTTAGAGAAACAGGGTCCAGGGGCTGTAACTACGGAGATTTAGAGAAACAGGGTCCAGGGGCTGTAACTACGGAGATTTAGAGAAACGGGGTCCAGGGGCTGTAACTACTGAGATTCTTATAGATTTATACCCAACAACTGACGGCAAAAAAAACACGAAATAAGAAAACAATAATTTATTCATTTTGGTAGTCGATAAACTCCACTGACGTACACTAACTTCTGATCCTTGATTTGACGATCTAAAAATCCTTTTAGCTCCTGCTGGCTTACCTCCCCTGAAGAGGAAGGTCCCTGAACAGCGAACATTCGTAACATAGTATGTATTCTGTCCAGAGGTAAACTCTCTAAGTTGGTTAACATGGCCACGATATATGTCCAAAATACCTGAAAAAAAAAAGACAAAATGGTCAAAAATAGGGTCAGTTTAAAGAGATTAGTAAGAGGTTTTTATCATGTGTATCAGGGACACTGATAACATCAATTCCAAACATTCCAATTTTTCAATTCATTTTTCAGTCAGACATCTGTGGTTCTTGAAATTTCAATATGGGTCTAGTGACCCCATAAACAATTAGTTTTAATGGAATTACAGGAACCACAGACGTCTGACTGAACATCAGAATTGTGCAATTTGATGCAATCAGTGTCCCTGATACACATAAAGAGTTTAGAAAACCCTTTTAAAATCCCTTTAAAAGAAAACACGTACATCTTAGAAAAATATTTCAAATCAAACTTAAAACGAACCTGTAACTCTTCTTCTCGTTGTTGGTAAGCAGACGTCATTGCCGACTCGGATTCATCCTCTGCCATGACAACCTCATGACCTTGACCTTTGACCTCGTCCACCAGAACGAAGGTATCTGGTACCTCCTCTTTCAGCAAGCCCTGTGATTGCCAGTAGGTGATTTTACGTCTTAAAGCGGAAACTGACATCTGTAATACCCCACTTAATTCTTCTACATCCCAACGGGCTACAACAAAGAGTTTGAACCACTTTTAGAAAGTGAATGAGTTTTCCATCCTACTTTCTGGCACTTGATAGTGCTAATGAAGACAGCCTGTAACACACACAGTGCCTAGGGTTATCATCCTTTCTGAATGAATAGATGCTTTATCCATGTCAGATCCTTCGACCCATGCCAGGACTGAACACTGGACCTTCAGGTTATTAAGCAAGCATCTTACTCACGGCTCCCATATATCAATAAGGATGTTTATGTTAAAGATTGCTGGACAGTTGGGAGTCGTAAAGTTTGCTTATACTGCTAGCCTCTAACTTTCCCTTATTGCACTCTAAGGTATCATTTAAAACATATTGTTACATGTTATAATAACAGTATTTATCATACAGTGTTATTAACTAATATAAAATAGAATACTAACATTGAGTTTGAAACTTCATAATAATGGCAGCATGTACAGGAGATACCGAGAAATTCAACATGGTACCTTTATGTTCTACTTCTATTTTCATCATTCCTGTAATTACCATAAATACTTGACATAAAATCCTAGTTTTCTTTAACAAGGCAAAATTGTTACTGGAATAGCAATAGGTAGTGTTGAACATGACTGGCTTGTGAGGACACATCAGATTTTGTTTTGGGTAGATACGTGACGGTTTTCTCCTTATGATTTTACATTGAATTGTGATTTGGGTACCTACATAACGGTTTTCTCCTTGTGATTAGAATTTGGATTTATAGATTGTTGAATGGATAACTACATGTAGGTTTTCTTGCTATAATAAGTATATACCAACCTAAATGTGGTTTCCAATTCAGCGTTCTGTTTCCTTTCAAGGCCTCAAATTTTTTGGTGTATTCCTCCAGTGATTTCTGCATCTCTGTTGGCAGAGTTATCTTTTCTTCACGGAACGACGGCCAGAACTGAGCTGATAGAATCAGAGCGTTTATATCAATATCCTGGAAATAATGAAATGGAGTTTTACATTCTTTTGTTCTACAATTCATAGGGCGAATGAAGACCAGTAGGACAAGAAACTCTGACCGGACCATTTTACTTAAGGACAGCCCACCCTTTCAGGTGGGAAACCTCTTGACAAATTTTTATGGTGATCACAAATTCTTAGAACTCGAGCAATTAACTTTTGTATAGTGTCTCCTCTTAGTTTCTTGAGAAACTTTCATCATCAGAAGCAAAGCTGCAATCAATAAACTTTAGAAGGACGATACTACTGGGTTGACTTGCAGAAGCACTGGCCAAGCATCAAATTTTGTTTTACCCTTGAGGAGTATTATGAATCTTGCTAATCTTTAAAATTACAGACTAACTCACCATTTTTTGTCCAGCGTTATCCATCTCTTGAACAATTCTACTGTTGATTCTTTTAGAATCTGCGATATCTTTTAACATGACTTCACAATAATGGAGCTGAGATTCTCCAAATCGTAATTTTAACATTTCTAAATATCGTAATTCTCTCTCCATATCACAATTAAATTGACTGAGTATACGGTCTGTTAATAATGTTCGATATTCATTAACGAATAATTCTTTACTTCCATAGATATTCACTAACATACTGATAATATCAGACCCCCGTCTGCTTTTAGACGTTGAGGCTGAAAATAAAAAATAATTTTAAGGGATTGTAAAATTCTTTTATTTGTGAAAATAAGGCCTGGCCTTTTTAGCTTTTAAAGTAGAAATTTTATATGAATTTTAAGGCTTAAAAATAGAATAGGCCTGAAGCCTATGACCAAAGGATTAAATACTATTGGTGCTCAAATGACACGTTTTTCTATCTGAGCATCCAGATATCTTAACCAGCTACTGCATCTAGTTGGTTAACCAAAGTTAATAACAAAAATGTTTTATTTTCTTAAAAAAACAACAAGGCATTAACTAGTTTTTATTGAAAATTTATGTTTTTAATACAGACATATTCAAGAATTGTAACCAAAGATGAAATTTTATGCTAATAAAGACATCTGATCATAAACACTTTAAAACCTAAATACTCACAAGGATCAGCATCTACTGGATCAGGCATCCATGTTTCCCAATCACCCTCCTCCTGATCACTACAGGTATCATCTTCTAGAATCAGGGGCTGACCTTTAATTAACTCATCTAATAACTCATTACTACCCTCTTCTGTTAAACATAGAACTATACATCTTACTGTATCTTCTCTTGATCTGATAGGGAAATAACGAGAATTAGTATCTTCAGACCCTAGGGTTTTATAGGGCCCCTACACCTATACACAAATTCTGACATAGACCTTACTGTGTCCTCTCTGAAGGGGGAAATAAATCAAAATTAAATAAATGAAGTTTTAAATATCACTTTTCTGCATCTTATGTTCTAAGGAAGACGGATGCCATGCAGTGTACAATGAGGGAAATTTTGCAAGGACAGTGGCATTAGCATGTTCTTTTTTTAATATCCAACTGTCGAGGGATCTTTAAAGTACACAGCCTGTAGCACACAGGGCCTCGGTTTATTGTCCCACCCGAACAACTAGTCACTTTTCCCATGTCAGATCTACATCACTGACAGAGGGAAACCTGGTTAAATAAGACATTAAGAGAAACAGACCTGAGGTATTTTCTGACTGGTTCACTGACTATTTCCAGTATAACGCCAGCTGGGTCTAAAACACGTAATGACCTGATAGCTGAGATATACGCTAGTAATATATCTGTTGTATTTACACCTACAAAAACATATTTTATATTTACGAAGTAGTCTTGGTCATTTATACAGCTGTTAACTTCTCCAAGATATGAAATGAACAAAAGACTTGAGGTCTATGTTTTTCTGTAGCTTTCTATATTGATAAAAAATGATATTTGATACAGATGGGCAATACATCAAATGATGAATACAACAGTAACATGAAACACAATGTTTCAAACTAAAAGGGATTGGTCTATGTGTATCGGATAGCATCGCTTTGCACCATTCCAATTTTCAATCAGACGTCTGTTGTTCTTGAAATTACACAAAATATTTACATTTATCGAAAAATTTAAATGGTGAAAATACACATAAAAAGTTTAGAAAAAACCTTCTTTAAGAATCAACTACTACAAAAATGTAAATTTTTACCTGGATGTAAAAGTCTATCCTCTAATTCTTTTCGTAACGATGTCATCAATAACGCACGTAGATTTGTTTTCTCCAGACACGTTTTCAGATCCAAGATGGCTGGCTCAGACTCAGGGTAGTCAATGACGATAGCAAATAACTGTTCTATTCTAGCGTGAGCATACGTCTCGAATAAGAAATGGAGTAATCTGCCCCTGAATGCCGAGATACTGCACTGATTTTTCTCTCCTGCGTATATCGAGTTTAACCAGCCTAAGACCTTTGTATCCAGCCACTGAAAAAACATGAACATTGTTTTAAATCATACGTTGTCAACAAGTTGGCTATTACTTTATTGATCCAAATACGGAAATTATACCCTATTTTCAAAAATATATTGAGACATATATTTTGATGTTAATGAAAAACCTATACATTGGTGTACACTGGGAGAAAGGATAAACTTTGAGTTAGGGTTATTTTGAAGCTCAAGCTCAATAAATTTACTTGCTGAGTTATTTCCCATGCATGTCTTAAGTCACAGCCCTACTTCCATACCAATCTTAATGATGATGGATATATATCAGAAACGTTACCTTTTCTAAATGATCGATATAAGAAGTTTCGAAGTTGCCTTTACAAGTTGTATTGATGTACCTCTGTATTTGATTATGAACTATTGATGTTACTGCAGCCCCTGATAGTCTTTCTAATATACCCATTTCATCTCTGAAAGAATCAAAAGAATATTATCAAATGAAATGAAATAAATGGAGTTTTACATCCTACTTTCCTGAACCAGTGCAATGAGGGAGATTTTGCCATGACAGTGGCATCCCAATCAAATCTCTGCATTCACTGATAGAAGGACAATGACTATTGCATTTAAGTGATTAGACGAATGTTCATAATAGCTAGCAGGACCTTGTAAAGATAGCAATCTGGAATGAGAAATAAAACTTACAGTTGTCTGTTAACAGAATGAAAAGTATCTATGATATCTTGACAAGTACAATCATCTATATCAATAGTACAACCTTCACATAACGGAGACTTCTCTTCTCCTGTAAAAAAATAACAAAAAATAAAACTGTAAAATACGTAACATGTAACAAATTGCATCCAAGGTGTTTTACTTATCTAGGGAATCTTCAGAAAGTGAGAACCTGATTTCTATTTTTTTCGTTTTTTACCATAAGAAAATTGCCAGCATCGAGAAAAGAAATAGATAAGCGAATTTAATTACATCTTTATCAGTAAAATAATAAGACAATTAGTGTAAGCTGATAAGCTTGTAATATTCTGGGGATATCCTGACCTCTCGCCCCCCATCCCTTCCACTCTCAACACTTCCGCGCCCCTCACACCAAAAAATGACATATACTAACCTTTCCCACTAACATCCCAACCCGCCCCCTCCACCCCCACCCCACCAACGAAAAAAATAAAATATACCATACCTTCAGCATGAGTGTCTGTATTAATATGATGAAATACTCTGAAAGCCTGAGAGTAATATCTCTCTACAGTAGACAAGAATACAGGTGGAGACGTATAAAACACAATAGCTTTATAATACATCACAATCAAACTTTGAAGTTTCGTTGACGATTTCTTTGCCGATTCGAGTAAGTTTATACATTTATTGTATTCTCGAGAAGTTTCATACAAATAATTCACAGATTCCACGAATTTTTTAATACACACAATATTTTCAGATTGTTTTGTCAGTTCATTAAAATGATACCAATATGCTGGCGCCACTCTCTCCCGCAAGTCCTCCTGCAGGATTTCTTGGAACCATTCTTCCATAATATAACCCATATTATACCCTTCAAGAACTTGCCAAGCTTCCTGAAATTCTGTGAAATTCTGCTCTTTCTGAAAACATAAAATGAAGACAGTGTTTTTTTAACTTTGATTCCTTTTATGTACAAAAATTGTTGTCATAAGAACGTAGCATCGACGTGTGACGTGTTTGACGTGTTGACTGACGTGTTTGACGTGTTGACTGACGTGTGACGGAGAAACAATTGGATCCGTGAGAATGATTGACAGCTGAATGTTGACCAATCCCCTTAACTTAAACTAAGCCGTCATCTTTTACCCACAAACAACAAAGCAAATAAGCGTGTGAAATTTAAATTATAATGACTCGAGTTGTCGTTTGTGTTGAGTATCTAAGTGGGCGGGGCCAAAGCTGTCCTAGTGAATTCGTGAAATTGGTACTTGGACAAATACAATGTGGTTGGTGAATTGGTCACCATTTTTTGACACTTGCAGTTTTGAGTACGCTATGCAAACGCAATGTCAGCGACATCAAAATTTGACAATGCCTTCAAGGGAAGGATATTCAAGAAGTAGAAATATTGCCAAAAACTGACGTGGTTGTTTGAGGGAGTTAGTTGTGCGCTTATTACATCCCAAGCTTTGGATACTTGTTTATGATTGACTTCCATCTTGAATGACGGTTGCTCTAATTAAGGAATCGAATTAGAAATGGAGACGAAAAAAATGAAATATTTCAAATAATTTCAAAGGAATTTCACTGCCATTTAGAAAATATGCAAAATATGACCTAAGGCTAAAGAAATCAATTACCTTTTATAGAGAAATATAATATTCAGGAACATTCATAGATCTTCGTTCCAACGTAAAAAATAATTCCCAAATATTGAACGAACCAGTACTTCCGTTGTCGCGAGTATTTGTATTGTAAGACGCGAGAACCACAGATTCAAAACGATCAACATCGAATTAATAAACTAAAACAAAACATTTCCCTTCTTTTAAAAATGGTAGGCATTATGTTCTAATTGTTCACCACAATTCCAACCAGAAGAACGTTTAATTGACATTTTAAGTCTTAGCTACTAAAGCAAAAGGCAAAGAAATATGCCCCCACACTTTTTTTTTCCTAGATTTTAAATGTTTTTTTGTTTGTTTCAGTCGCTGACACTTGATACAGATGTTGGTGAAATTAAAATAGAATTATTCTGTGAACAAGTTCCTAAATCTTGTCATGTAAGTTTAGAACTCCTTGTTAGGTTGGTTTCAAAAAGTTTTCTATTTCCTGGATGATGATGCAGGTTGGAGGGGTTGACATGGAAGAGGCGCCTTTTCATCTCATCTGTGTGCTACAGACTGTACACAATAAAGCTCCTCAACAAGTAGGAATTGAAAAGCATTATGTTTGATGGTCGTTTTAATAATTTTGAGACCCCAGACTGAAGCGAGTCACTCTTATTTTATTATAAATACTAATTTATAGAGCTAATTTCAAGATTTATGTTTTTCAGAATTTTCTAGCTCTATGTGCCAGTGGTTATTATGATGATACAGTAATACATAGAAATATAAAAGGTTTCATGGCTCAGATGGGAGACCCCACAGGTAATAAAACAATTTCTTTTCTAGTTTTCTTGCTAAGGAGGTAGTGCTGGCACGAATCAGTGAATATGTTGAAATGACATGTCAAAATAGCCGAGAATCTAGGATTGGGATATGTATAGGTTCATGTTAGATTTGTTATTGTAATTCAGACATTAACTTTGGAGCATACGCAGGCTTTATTCTTATGATTCTGAAATGCTGTACTGGTAAATGATATTTCCAACACCAATTGTCTTTGATAAAAGATAGTTATATTTCCATGTAATGTTCCAGGAACAGGGAAAGGAGGAGATTCTATCTGGGGAGGAAAATACGAAGATGAATTCAGAGAAAGTTTAAAGGTACATCATTACTTTACAAAAATATCTTGTTCACCCTTTTAAAACTCTGAGCAACCACATAAAACTTAATATTATACATGAACAGATATTAAAAACTACTTTTGCCAAATGACACTACATGAAGTTAAAGTCAAATATCTTAAAGTTAATTTAATTATGAATTTTTTTTATCCCAATCAGGTGCAGAAAAGTAGGACGTAAGACTCTATTTCATTTCATTCTTAAATACATCTATGATTAATATGAAATTTATTTTATTTCAGCATTCGTGCCGAGGTATAGTTTCTATGGCCAATAATGGACCAGATACAAACGGCTCTCAGTTTTTTATAACGTTTAGTAAACAACCACATTTAGATATGAAATATACTGTCATTGGAAGGTAAGAATGATTAATCATCAGGGTTATAGCTCAATCTGAGTTCAAATGAGGCAAAGGTGCGTCTGGGTGGATTTAAAATACATAATTGAAAAAGACACATCTTCCAGAAAATGCCCCATCATTGGAAAATGCCCCCACCCCCCTCTTTGCAGAGCTGCTACTGTGGGGCTAAAATAGCAGTAAAATTTTTGAAATGATTCAAGATTATTTTAAATTTCAGAGTGATAGATGGAATGGACACGTTAGATACACTCGAGAAAATACCAGTTGATGAGAAAACATATAGACCATTAAACCCTGTCATGTTACGTACTGTTAATATACATGCGAACCCTATAGCTGGTTGAGGGGGGGGGAGGAGACTATTAAATTCCTCGGGGTGAGCAGGGGCATGCCTACCCCTTTGAACTTTGAAATTTTCAGCAAGAGTGAGAGGGGTCTACTACTGACAATTTATGAATGTTTCAGGGATTTTTAAAATGGAAAGTTAAACTTATCTTTAGTGAAAAGGGTCACTTCCAACTTTGAGGATACAGAATTTTTAGTAGAGGACCAAACCCAGACCGACGATTTAAGGATTTTCAAAAGTTAGTGGACATTATGAAGTTGTAATAAGGGAGCTGTGCTCAAATCTGAAAAGAACCTTAGTGATACAATTATAGCTGTTTAACAATTTGGACAATAGTCTATCCTAAGCTATTTTTACAAGAACAACATTAAAAGTGTAGATAGTGTCTAAAAGAATTTATCACATAACAGTTGAAATAGTTCACCATGTCACTTGTACCACAATTATAATGAGCACTGTTAATCCTTAGCAAACACTTTCGGACTACCTTAACCCTTTTTACACAAGCGACCGCGTTATTGGCCACACAATTACATGATATACTCGTATGTCCAAGCTGTTGATCAAGCAGCCTTACCAAGTGAAGTCGCCTAACATTAACATCATACACTTTCAGTCATATTACTTGGAGTTCAGGGTATATGATGTTTTATTTCATTTACACTCAGTGTTTAAAGGGTTAAGGGCTAAATATTTCAGCGTATATTATGTTTAATTTCATTCACTCAGTGTTCAAAGGGTTAACAGCTCAATATTCAACTCAACTCTGCATTCATAATTTCCACCATCACCAACATGCATTTAACCATTCAGAAACATAAACTGAATTTACCGTTTTGTTTCAATATAAATGATGTTGTTGATAATCTGCTAGAGGGAGGTATGTAGTTAAAACTGTTCTGTTGTTAAATGTACGACCATTCAGACGAGAATAAGCTGCCTTGGCATCGGAATGACTGGAAAAACAGACATACACCTGAAAAATAGACATACACCTGAAAAATAGACATACACCTGAAAAATAGACATACACCTGAAAAATAGACATACACCTGAAAAATAGACATACACCTGAAAAAGAGACGTACACCTGAAAAATAGACATACACCTGAAAAATAGACATACACCTGAAAAATAGACATACACCTGAAAAATAGACATACACCTGAAAAATAGACATACACCTGAAAAACAGACATACACCTGAAAAATAGACATACACCTGAAAAATAGACATACACCTGAAAAATAGACATACACCTGAAAAATAGACATACACCTGAAAAACAGACATACACCTGAAAAACAGACATACACCTGAAAAATAGACATACACCTGAAAAACAGACATACACCTGAAAAATAGACGTGTAAAATCATTTTGTTTATCTGACAGTTTATTTCTTCGGACCTATACCTGTAAACTGACAAGTAAATTCATACTATCATTTTTATCTGAAAGATTATTTCAAAATGTTCATTTATAGTTTCATTGTGTAAATAAAGCATTTTATTCAAAATATTTGTTTTACAAATTGATAGAACTCAATTTCAGCTATCTGTAACCATTTTTAGAATTACTATCTGGCATCCAATTTTCCAACAATTCAACAAAGCACAGTTATTCATAAGTTCTGATCAGTATTGATGAAACAAGGAGAGGCCTTATTTTCTAAACTTCACTTAAGATGATTACATCAGTCATCTGATTGGTCAATCACTAAAATTGATTATAAATTTAGTTTTATTATCCAATCAGAATTCTGGATTTTTTATCTTAGTTTAGTTTTTGAGAATAAGGTCCTTCGATTCTAGGACTTTTGTCATTAAGCCAGTATATTTAACTGTTTCAAACAGAGGTTGTTTTTGGACATCGACACGCTTGGATCACCACTGACCTTGCCGACAGCTTGTCCTGTAGTGGGTATCAAACAGTTTAAAACTTCACCAAACTTTCTACATTCATTCACTATATCTTCTTTAATATCTGTAACACACACCACAAAATAATTTTATTATATTTTATTACCCTAACAATACATCGATATGTTTCAGTAGGTAATTTCCTATCAAATTGATGTATTCCAAACCCAGCCCCCCCCCCCCCCCCCCCACTAAAAATAAAATAACAGATGTGGGTAACCTTCCAATTCCTCTGAATCTTCTATTTCTGTCTCTTCTATCAGTACTGCCACTTAGCTCCCCCTTCCCAAAAGAAGAAATGTGAGATAGTCACCTTCTAGTTCCTCTGAATCTTGTATTTCTGTCTCCTCCACCATGTTTAATAATCTCAGAACTTTACTGGACAGAAGCAACGAATCCATGTAACTTGCGTCTGAAATTAAGTTTTAAACATTATTAAAAATACTTAGTGATCTAGAGGAACACTTTTGAACAAATGAGTCTAATCTTTTACTTCTTCTATCGACATCAAAATGAAGACCAATGAAGGCATGTAGGTGTGCAATGGGGGAAAATTGTTCAAGCAATAGCATCCTGTTTTTCTCATTCCTTCTGTCAAGACTACTCAAGACTAAACTGTGGTTTATTGTCCAATGCATTTTCCTTGTCAGCCCCTGCGACTTGCATCACTGACAGGGGGAACTGGGTTGAAAAATTTATATATCTTGATTTATATTATGAGAAAAATGAGATATACTTACTAAAATGTGGTTGTGAAGCTAGTAGGACAGATATTTCACTAGTTTGAGGTCTTGTATTAGGTTTACACTGTAAACATCTGAAATATAGTGATGTCTGTAGTAAATCTTTTACACCATCAAGTCTGTTCTTACTTTCTGAATCTGATTGGGCCAAAGACAAGTCATGCCATGCAGTGTGTAATGAGGAAAATTTTGAAAAGACAGCACAGCCTGTAGAACATGGGGCCATGTTGGCGTCAATCTTGTCCACCAGTAGTCTATCAATGAAACACAAACCTCTTAGCTAAGTCTAATAATACTCTTATATAGGCTTCTCCATTTCTAGCTGAACCACTAAACAACTTCTCTACTATCTCATTATTTTCACAGTCTTCTTCACCATTCTACAAAATATACAAAGGACATCCTTATGAATTCTTTGCAATTAGCTTTGTGGGCTCCCTAATAGGAATGTCAAACTTTAATACTAAATAAAATATTATTAGCTATGTCAACTCTCTGAAAATATGGCATAAAATATTGAATAGAAACCGACCTGACAATTTGGACAAGTCCCAGTTTGTTTCTGATGATTTGTCAACTTCTCTCCAGTAACTAGATACAAGACTAGAACACCCAGACTCCATACATCTATAGCTGTATTAGCTAAAATACTGGATTGATGGTGTCTATACACTTCTGGTGCTCTATAGCTAGTACATTGAACCAATCCAACTTCCTGAAAGGGGAGAGAATCATTCGTGAAAATCTTTGACAAGCTCAGGGCAATTTAAACCTAGTTATATTTGAGGACTCTACTTTTCAAAAAATCTTACACATTTTTCATTGACACACATTTTTTCAAGAGAGGGGCCTGGTGTTTCATTTTATCTAAGAAATTTTGCCTACCTTATCGTTTTTATGAAACGCCAATCCAAAGTCAATGAGTTTGAAACATCCAGTTTGTGGACACCATAAAATATTATCTGGTTTAATATCAGCATGAATAAAACCACATTGATGTAGAGTGGACAGGCCACTGAAATAGACATAGTAATATTGTTATGATAAATTGTTTCTTATATATATTTACGACATACAGTGTACTCTGTGATAACCCACATCTGAGTATTCCGACATTCTGCGTAATCCGACATCATTTTCTGCTCCCTATTGATTTCCTTCTTGAGTACTCCGACACTCTGTGTATTCGGAATTACGACACTAATCAGTGGTCCCGAGACAGATATAACTAATCAACATTTGATTTTTTTTAAAGGAAAATATCAAAAGACACATTGTTTATTGTTTTTAGGTAATGTAGTAGTAGTACTGTAATCATTGGATCAAGTAGAGCCGGTATATCCTCTTGTATTTCTTCATGAATTTGTGAGGCTGGTTTTATCAAGAAAATCTGTGTCTAATAGGAATCAAAATTTATTACCTTGTTATATCAGTGAGTATTCTATGAATCAAGTATAGAGACAGACTGTCCGCTTGTTGTTTGATAGTAAACAGTATTCCTGGTAAACTGGGCTCTAGATATTCCTCTACAAGTACCTGTTGGTTACCATAGCTACAGTCATCTCGTACCGATACTGAAACATAAGCCAATATAAGTATTCCTCGAAAGCACAGGTCCAGGCATCTGATATTTTGAGGTAAGATGTTGAAAGCTGAGAATTAGATGATGCTACATATCACTGTGTATGGCATCATCTACCTACAGCTGAGCCAAATAAATAGTCTTGTCTTTTTCTTAAAAGATTTGAACCCATGGCGCTTAATGACCTAGCCAATGACAATCAGACTGTTGGTGCTAGTGAGTTAACACTAACCTAATTGAGGCACAGCACCACATTTCTCTGCTACTATTTTAAGTAGTAGATATTCCCTTTGATGAGCACAATCGAACTGGTTTCCCTCATTGTACACTTTTATAGCTACCTACAATCATAAATAATCCTTAAGTTTCATTTAAGACTAGAGATCACATTAAGAAAAACACAACTTTAATTCTAGATTGTTGAAACGTGTACAATAAAACTTTTCTGTTTGCCTGAATTTTAAACGGTAATAATCTAGGACCATTTGACAATTATTTTCTTACAATCAAGTCTTCACATTGATAGCTAATGTAGAAATTTCATGAAAAAATGTTCAGGGTAAAAAACTAATGATGTAAAAAAAAAATCAATTACATTTAATTGATCTTGAAAATCGTCAAAATTTTTTACCTGAGAGTGATCATGTAGACCCAATCCTTCAAAAACATTACAACATTTTCCAGATCCGATTTTATGTAGAATTTTCCATTTTTTATCATTTTTACTGGTGATTATAGCCCCTTCTTCAACCATTCATAGAAAATCTGAAAAAGGACAAAAAACAACTACATAACAGACTGCAAAGGACATCATATTCCTAATAGGCTTGCACGTTAATCCTACGGCAAGCAAATATTCACAACAGTCAAATATTGATTACTTTTTATGCAATTATTTCATTACTGAAGTACCGTACTATAATAGGCTACCTTAGTACAAATTCAGATAAAGTACACAAGCTCACAAATTCAGGAGGCCTATGCTTTTGTCTTTGTTATGTAAATGTTAGGCCTACAAGTAAAAGCTCTTTGACTAACTATTCCAAATCTACCCAAATGGTCAACTTATTAGAAATCCAAACTAATGCAGTGCCATACGACTTGAGTAGTTCAGCTTACAACATTATAATATTGGCACAGGCCAGCCTGGCCATCTTAATCTAAATGTGTCAAAGGAAATTGTCTTTGCTTCATTGTTTTTAGATCTAGGTAGACTTTATAAAATTTGTTGAGCCGTTTTTAACATTGGACATGTCTCCTTAGTCAGACTGTTTCATTTTAACAAACTGTGCCCCCATGCCCCATCCCCCTCTTTCTTTCTTTCTTTAGCCTTGGGCCTTGGTCTGCAACTCAAGCCGGTAGGTTAAGGCCACTCTTTCTTGTTTTTCTAAAGGATTCGTGAATTTTGGAACAAAAAACAGTCAAACACACTTCTGCAATCGACAGAGATATTGTTGGGGGCAAAGAATTAGAATTTCTTCAAAAGAAAGTACTTTGTAGCTTTTAGGAAACTTGCCATCAAAGACGTCTGCTTGCAAGTGCAAATTTTTAGAATAAACAGAGTTATTCCCCCTTGAAATAGAAATTATTCTGGATCATCTCGACTATTACAATTTAAACTTTCTTGATGTAATCACACAAAAATTAACTCGAAATTTTAAACAAAATTCACAATTTAGAATGAAATCGGGAAAAGGGACAGAAAACCTGAAAAAAGACAATTTCCAATACAAATGTCCTTGAACTTAACGAAAATTTTGACAATTTTTGTACAAACTTCAACAAAATTGTTAGAGTCATCGTATCTGTGACTCTACAGATTCGAATACAGCACAGAAAAAACAGCATGGCGGACCTAAACGGTTTGCTTTCGCTGTTCTCTCTATTTTTGGTAAGATAACGCAATGAAAATGATAATTTTCAGAAAAAAATGATCGAAGCAACTTGCAAACAAATAGTTTTTTCATCTCATACAAATTTTTATTCAATTTCATTTTGTTTGCTTCGATTTTTGAGATAAAATGATCCCAGAAGTAAGACGGGAAAGATTGTTTACAATTTGCCACGGAGAACATTTTGATTGGCTAAGCCAATGTACACATTGTTACAAAATATTGCACTTAGTTTACATAAATGAAAAACCAGTAAAAATTATCTAAAATTGCTAGAAAGAGTATTTATTTCCCATTGCCACCAACTCCCCCACCCTCACCTTGGAAATATTCCTAACCTAAGGATTGAATATTTACTTCCAATATGTTTAGGACAATTACATCTTAATTTCAGGTCTATCTAGGGGAGGTAACTGAAGGAGGTATATTAAACGCAGACGACTGTCGAGATCTAGGGTTCACCCCTTCCCTATCCTGTCGTTCCTGCAATGCTCTAGATGATTTTAATCTATCAACATTAAAGGACGACTGTCAACAATGCTGCAACGAAGATGGCGATGACAAGGGAGACGACTCTCAGGTACATTGAGAGTAATTTTAACATAGGAACAAGCGCAACTTCACTTCAAATGAGGAAGGGCTAGGTCAGTCGGGTAGAGAGTTGAAATCATTACATTATTTGCTTGATAATGATCCAGAAAGATAGAGGAAAGTTATTTGCCCAATGGAAGTGCAACAAGTTGTTCATGTTAACTTGAATATTGATCAGATTTTGTTATTTTTATGAAATATTAATTATTTGGTATATTTTTTCAGTTACTTCCCTTTGCTGAGCTTATTGTGTGTAGCTGAAAATTGGGAAGGTTTCCACAAGTCCAAGGTTCGTAAATATGTGGCCTGTTTCTTCAGGAGTTAGCAGGTCGACCTGGCCATTGACGGATCATCTAATTACGCCCCTTGTTCCCAATGTATTTATATTAATTAACAGCTGTAGGTCCATCGTTTATTGCTTAAAGGTATACTACCTCTTAGAATGGACAGAAAGTCTAAACTTTGGTCAACAAGTGTATATATTCATCAGTTAGACTTACCAGGTGTCATGACTAAAGAACGGAATCTCTATATAACAGATATATCTAAGCGTGTTTCCAAGTTTAAAAATTAGGTATTAAATGAACACTTCTGATTTAGATTGTTAGTTTCTCCTTGTGATCTAATTCAATATTATTTCTAATTCCAGCTTTCATTAAGAGTGATAAACCAAAACAGTTTCCTGGATTAAAAGTAAAATATGTCCGTGGAGCTGACCCCATCATTAAATTGATGGACGACAACTATCAAGTCAAGGAGACACTCGGAATTGAAAAGTGGGACACAGACGCAGTGGAAGCCTTTTTTCAAGAACGTCTTAAAAAATAATTCCACCATTTTGTAAACTTTGGCTGTCCTAGGGAGCGAGGGGGAGGGCTTTTGAAATGAAATGACCCCTTCACTTTGACCCCTAGGTCAGCCAAGGTCAGTGATCTAATGTATATCAAATTTGAATGTTTCATTATCCATCTTTCAGACACGTTCCAGACTGGCATGGTCAAAACATGCCTAAGTAACTGATGGTAGAGCATTTTGTTTTTCTATCATTCGATATTTTGGCATATTTGGCCGAAATTTGTCATGTCAAAACTTTTGATATCATTTTGATATAGTCATTTTGTGTTGGGAAATTTGAATATCGAAAGAACAAAGTTTGATATATCTCTGAAGTAATTCTCTATGATAGTCTTACTAAAAACCGTAACAGGGTAGGTGAGACTTGATAACCTCGAATTACTTCAGACTAGGTCATCCAGTGCTATATTTCATTGTATATAGTCATTGGGCATTCAATTAAAGGAAATTTATTTGGGGATAGGGTTGGGAAGAGGGCAATAACTACCTAGGGAGAGGATTTTGTGTATCTCGTAGGGGGAGATTGTTGTACTAATGAACCATTCGATGCTGGTTGGCTGGCAACAGCTATAACCTCCATACACAGTGTTAAATTATGTGCTGTGCTAAAATTTTATCATAATTGAATAAGGCAATAAAAAACACCCCTAATTATGTTAATGAACCTTTCTGAGCAATGTAAGACCAATGAATGTGTGGAAGAGTTCATTAAGTGGTCAAGGAATTTTAGATACATGACTGACAACTTGAAGTTTCTGTCTGTATGGAAGGCAATTCATGTCCAAAGAAGTTATTCGGTTTTCTATGATACTACTGATCATTGCAATATTGTTCAAAGTTGTCTTCCATATAATTTTTCATTTACACTCACTCCTTATTAATAGCAGGAATTTTTTGTAAATTACAAATTTGGTAAATAAAAAATTGAATGAATTGAAATGGACTTTTATATCCTACTGTTCAGTATCTTATTGGTCCCAAAAATGGTGCACATACAAGGGACAGTTGTGCCTTTTTATTATCAATCATACTTAGGTCTCAGAAATGTGAATTTTTTGGCTGTGTTCACAGGACACCTTCGAAATTTGAGCCTTCGAATACAGTATGTCATGCATTATCAGTGTTTGAAAGTTAGAAGACGAGTTGTCTTTTTTGAGACACTGCTATATAGAAATGACATCTATAGAAATAGGAAAAGAAATTTCTAGTTTGAGATATTCAAGACTCAATTCAACCCCCAAAAGTGGGGCATTTATTTGGTATTTATGTCAACTCTACATCTCTTTCTGAGAGTCCACATTGTTTTTATATTGTTTATTTGCTCTCTAGGTTTTCAGAGAGTCCACATAGTCTAAGAATATATTTATTAGGAAAAATCACAGAACAAAAGGTTAAAAAAATTTAGGACAAAAATAAATATTATTATAGAATCGAGGTAATTAACATACAAAACAACTGGAAATAAGTTTTAAATCATAAA